CTGATAATTCTTCGGCCCTGGAGGTTGCCGCTTGGAGAAAACCCAATTCAAATAGCATACGGAAGCAATCCCTTCCATAAATTATTTTAATTCTATTAAGACGTTTTCATTAGGTGTCCAGACATACAGACCTGGCCAGCTGTTTCTGAAGCTCCTGAGCATGTTGGTTGCACTGGTCGAAGTAACAGGCCTGAGTCTCAACAAAGTCAGTCAGGCTCCGCATGTGGTTGGTCTGGAAAAACAAACACAAAAACAAAACAAAAAACAACACAAGACACATAAAACAATATGAAATTAGCACAAAAAAACCCACCTCTGGATTATTTTTAGTTCAGAAGATATTTAATAACAAACTACAGAATGTATCTATATCTTGGGTGATGTGTGTATGTGTATATTGTTTATGTTACAAATGTTGCAACAACCTAGCAGTAAAAGGATCCACACAATTACCAAGGTTGAGACACATAACAGAATATTATATTCTATCTTTCTATGTGTGCACATACATGAGTGTTGCTGATTCCTTCTGCAACTCGTCTTGTAATTTCTGACTGTCGATCAAACAGACTCTGACAAATCCTCAGCTCCATCTCCGCCTACACACACACACACACACACACACACACACACACACACACACACACACACACACACACACACACACACACACACACACACACACACACACACACACACACACACACACACACACACACTTCATTATCTCTTTTAATTATGTCCAGCTTTTGTTTTCTCAAAATGTCCTATTAGCAAAATCCAAATCCCTAAAGTCTAAATGAACTAAACAATAGAATCTATTAAATAACAGGACAATACTAAATTCTATAACTGCTGGCATTGTCAAAATAGTCTCCCTCTATTACAGTATGAAGAACATTTATATCAGATCGTGTGTGCATGCAAAGATAAACATTAACTCACCTGAGAGATTTCCTGAGCCCACATCTGATTGGATGAGAAAGACAGAGGAGGGCAAATGACTTACTCAATGACCAAGCAGCAAGTTCAGATGTGCCTATCAGTGTCCTTTAGCAACACTGACCTTTAGCCATTTAACACGCAGGAAGCTGAACATGTAGGAAACATGAGACAAGTAGTCGACGTCCAGCGGGTTTGCATTCAGGTTCTGACAAAGAGACAGGAGAAAGCATGAGGGTGGAATTAGGAAGATAATTAAATCGACTGTATGATGACTGTATGAAAATAAAGATTTTGGATTGATCCAGGTATGATAAATGTATTGAAGGTGATGTTTTCTAAGTGACAACTCACTCTGGCCTCTTGGTCAGCCTCGTGGGCTCTCCTCAGTCTGGTATTAGCTATGTCCAAGTCCAAACGCTTATTCACCAACATTTTGCGCTCATCCTATGAACACACCCACAGCCACACCCACACACACACACACACAGGCGTTTCGAAAACCATGTTATATATACAAACAATACATAAACAATACGCTGAGCATGAACAAAAGAACAAAGAAAGAGATCAATTATGTAGAATGTGACATCCAAAACGTACAATTAAGTGCCACAAACATAATGGTGATGGGTGTGTGTATGTGTTCATGAGTGTGTTACCTGTATGGCTCTGTATTCCCCCTCAGTGAAACTCCTCAGAGGGGTGAGAAAGTGGATGTTGGTGCTTTGGACAAACTTCCTCTCTGTTTCGCCAAACTGCTTCTGAGCCTCTCCACACCTGAGCAGTGCCGTTCCTGAACACAAAACATACTGCTGTCTAGAAAGTATCTGCATTGACAACATTTCAAGACGTCCATGTTAAAGAAACAAAAATGCTAACGAGATCTGAGAATGCATATATTTTCCCTTCTTTTAAATTGCAGTTGTTACCCAACATTGCTAAGTATTTTCTGATATGATTTAAACCATATTATTGAGATAAACATTATCCATATTAATATGTACTCACCATAGGGTGTGTTGCACCCCATCTCCAGCCCTGCCTGGATCATTTGGTCTCCCAGTACCTCATGTGCTCGAAGTCGAGGTGGGGCGCTCCAATCCAGATGCTCATACAGCCGGTCCTCTAACCGTGCTCCTGTTCATCATAGATCAGAGAGTTCAATTCAGTTTAAAGTGTTTCTTTTAATAAAAAGCCATTGAAAATTCATTGTGATATTTTTTATTCAGGAGATACCATTGGGCTAATACAAGTAACCTCTTACTGTGTGACCTGAGCACACAAATAAATACGCCACAAAACACTGTTTAACCTTAGGATGGGTGTCAAAAACAGGTGTCAGTATACTACAGATTCAGAAGGACTGAAGAGTTAACACAAGCCATTAATATATCACTAAACAGGCTATGATACCTCCTGCATATATTTAATAATGTGTTCTACTAGGACAAGCACTGAAAACAAGAGTTGGCAGCTTCTTGCAAACTGCTGGTTCTTGCCATAAGCCCATGAAGCATACCTAAGGTAAACAAAACTGATTCTCCAAAAGCTACTAAAAGCCCTCTGTCAATAGAGAAAACATGATCTGCAAATATATCATTGAGGAATAAACGTATGAAACCATTTCTGGTAGCTGAACGATCACTTTACTTTATATATTTCAGACCACATCTACTCATAATTCCATTAGCTGAGGTTTCAAACAGGGAAAAAAAACAAAACAAAACATCCCTATTCATCTGAACAGGTCATTACAGTCAAAGCAAACAGAAGAGCACACAGGAGACGTATTTATTGCACGAGGGCAAACAAAGCTGAAATACTGGATCCCAGAGGTAAAGTATTCATTATTCAGTGTTTTTATATTGACCATAAAAGCATGTACCCCCTTGATGGTGACAGTGCAGCTGGTTGTGGTTTGGTGCAAACATAAAGATGGTGTGTTTATCAGGACAAAATGTTTGGCTAGTTAATCATTTATATGTACAGTGCAACATACTAAATGTGCAATTATAAATATTTTGTTTGTAAAAAGTTGATATGCATTCTTATTGAAATCATAACCCCACCATTGCCTTTATTTACTTAGATACATAAATACTGGTAACGTTAGATTGTTTCTCCCCACAGACAGGGAGTTTGGTAAAACAGGATTTTTGCCTATACCCTACATCAGGGATGTACTGTATATTAGCTAGAGCTCAGTGCAATGACTTGCAATGACATCAACTATTTCTGATAAAAACACATTTTATAAAGTAGCTATGAAATCAAGGCTTCATAAATAAAGGTCTTGTGTGTTCAGCTGAATTCAAGACATAAGACTTTCAGGACCTGCATACAACTTACACAAACAAACAATTTACGGTCTCTCACCGGGGTTGGGCTGCAATAAAACCTCAGTCTGAGAGATTATCCTGTCTGTCCAGGTTTTGGTGGCGTCTGCCTGGGCCAGGAGGTCCTCCAGCCCAGGGTCCAACTCTGTCTTGTCTGCCTGGCCAAGACTCTCCCCCGTGTACTGGAGCGGAATTACAGAACATAAGCCAACTTACACCCCTTAAAAACAAAGATTTGATGAACTAACCACGACGCATTTTTATGTTATCATTATATTAACGTACTAAGGTTTTACACGGTGTCATAACACTGTCATTTACCTGAACGTCTCCGGACCCCAAGCAGTTTATTTACAAACGAATACTGTGAGCAAATTCTAAAGGTTAAAAATCTTTTTTTCTGGTGTCTATTTTTTTCCTTTTACCTGAACAGCCCGGTTGATGAACTGACCAGCATCCACAGCCAACCGCGTCAAATCCATGACAACGTCCCCAAGGTCGCGCGCAGTCCTCGGTGGTCCAACCGAACGCGAAGGTCCAGCCACTGCCGCCGTTAACGGCAGGACTGAGCTAGCGCCAGCTATAAAAACACAGTGGCCAAAAACAGACAACTGACTTCGCCATGGCCTCAAACGCTGACGTTAACAACTCTCTGTTAGCCAGATTACTGTTCGTTAACACCGACCAGCCGAACACATGAAGACGACGCAAGTGGAAGCACCTGCTTGTGTTGTTGACCGTTTAACCTCCAGCCATGCTGCCTGCTCCTGACAAATTGACTGCGCTTACAGCTGGTTTACAACCTCGATTTGGCCGTAACGTTAACGGCTGGCTGTCTTTCAGTACCCTAACATTGTGTAAGAGTTACGTTACCGTTTTCTCCGCTTTCTTATAGGATTTTTAATTTGCTGTTTCACGCTAGCTTCACCGCGGTGTGTAACGATCATAATAATTTCAAATACCAGCACATTTAAGTTAACTAACGTATCTGTGTCAAAGCTGAACGTATAAGCATTTTTAAGCGGTCTGGACTCTTAACGATATAGAAATAATAGCACCCTACACTTCCGGCTGCAATCTTCAGAATAAAAGCATAATCTCTACGTGCCTACACCACTCAGCGACACAGTAAAGGGAGCGTCGATAGTCCACAGGTTGATTATCGCACATTCGCATGTTGTTTTCCCAGATAGAAACTCCAGCACACTCGTGCAAAGATAATCTTGCTATGCTGCATAATGTAATAATTCACTCAATGATTTCTTCAAAATAGGCGTCTGTCCAGTGCTGGATTGGAAAGCTCCTCTTCGAATTGAAGCACGCATTAGGTTTTAGTCTTCTAGCCAAGAGCAAGCTGAAACAGCAGCCATGCATTGAAAAAAACGAGAAAAGTAATGATAAAAAATACAGTGACCTTTTGAGTGTCTGAACTCATGACTTGACAACAAAGCTCTAGCTTGCTTAAATAAAATTCCACATCACTTACTTCACACACGACCTCACCCCAGCCTCTTAAAAGTTTTATGACCAAACACTTTGCTCTCATTGGTGCTCCTGTGTAAAAGGTGAGCTTATTGGACCATTATATGTGCAAGAGGACAGACACGCGCTGCACGCACACACACAGGGGATTAAAACAATCTGATTGCTAAAGAGAATCTAAAGAGGGTTAAGAGATCAGAAGAGTCACTACTTACAGATGTAATTACCTACAAAATCAAATATGCAAAACATACTTTATTACAAGAGAATGTACAGGAATGCAACCAATATCATTTGTTTTTAGAAAACTGTAAACAATGATGGAATTACTAGAACAAAAAAATGGCATTAGAAAGAGATTTTCAACAAACAGTCATGAGTGTAGGAAAGGTTTTTGTGTTGTTATTACTACTTTATGTGCATATATTTCTTTGAACCTATTAGCAGTTTGACTTTGAGCCACATCAGGACACTTAAGGTTGTTTGTGTAAGTATTTTATCACGGCAAAGTATCTTATATTCTCCAGAATAGACTTCAAAATGCATTCCTCTCATTTAAAAAAAACAACTTAAGTGCATGTTTCACAGGTATGGCCCCCAGCCCAGATACATCTGACAAAGCAGTTTGTCGTCTGTGGCTTCCTGTATGAGGTAATGGACGTGTCCCTCTATAGACAGAGGCAGACCCAACACTTTATTTCTGCTCTTTATTACACCCTGCAGACGCTGATCGATGTCACACACGTGAGTTTTAGCCTGGCAGAAAAGGAGGGGGAAAGATTAGACAATACAGCAATAGCTATACAAAAAATGTGACATTTATAGTTTATATTAGAAATACACACTGCTCTAAATGCGTGTAAGCATAATCCAGAAGCAAGGCCAAGAAATACACACCTTTTCATTAACTATCTCTCCTGTCTCGTTGGCCTGAGCTTTACAAAGTCCTTTGGCTTGCTTGCTCCACTCCACCAGTGGGTCATGAAGGAAGGTCTTAAGCACACTTGGAGGGAAAATTAGAAACAGAAATTGGAACTTGGAAACCCTTTAAAAGATAATTACTATGTAAATTTGTGACAGAGAAAAAACACATAATGAATTTACCAGTGAGCATCGTCATCAAATTTATAATCACGTTTCAGTAAGTGTCAAGAATATTACAAATCCATTCATTTCAATATGGACCTGTACTTAAACTGAGCTAGTTAATTTATGCTTCTTGCCTTACTCCCAGTGTTTTTTAAGCATTGTTTTATTTATGTACCCCACTGTAGGTGTATGCTCAGATTATGTATATATTAAAGTTTTACAAGATCATTTGATAATCATAAAGTATTTATGTGTGTGTACCTCATGAGTGGTTCTCTCTGGTCTCTCATGAGTCTCAGGGTGACCTCACAGGCCTGTCTGAAGAGACCCTCAGTGCCCATCGGACCCATGGCGTGGACCATATTCTGGGTCAGACGGAAGGGAACCACCTCAGGCACATCAAATGTCTCCCCCTAGTGGATAGGGAAAGAAGGAGCACAAGAGAAATGCAGGGAAAAGGGAGACGTGAAACGTAGTCAATAAAAAAACATATATAAAAACTATTTCATAATTTCTATTGGAGGATTTATAATATAAAATGACTCCTAATTCATTTATATTTTAAGACAATTTGAGACAAACACAAACCTTGTTGAAGAGGCAGTTGAAGTCAACATGAACACATTCCCCAGTGAAAGAGTCAAAGAGGATGTTTTCTCCGTGACGATCTCCCAGACCCAGGATGTAGCCCACCATGGACATCACAGCAGTGGAGCGGCAGTACGCAGAGCGACTGCTGTACCTGTAAACATAAACAATACTTGGTATTCCTTGTGAAAATGTTTCCCTGATTTTAATCTGATCCTTGATGGAACTCTAGACCTGAACTGTACCCTTTTCAAATTTATAACCATCCAAAAACTCCTGACTTTCCTCTCATCTGTAGTAACATACACAGACACACAACAAAACGGTGGTCCTCTTAAATGTAATTACAGGAGTGGTGTTGGGCGGGGTCATACCATGATGTGGGGTCAGGGAAGGTCCGAAGGAACCACTCGTGGAAGACAGGGACGTGTCGAGCACAAAGCACCTCCTTGTGGATTCGTAGCTTCTCCTCAAAGGGAGCCGTCTTTGGTAGAATAAGTTTCCTGAGCTCTTTACCTGATAGGTAGATACCTAGAACACACACACAAAATATAACCAAATGAAATTTTTTCATCACATTGCTTAAGCTTAAAGTTTATCTCCACCTCTATTTATAGGCTTGGGGAAGATACCTCTCTCCTTGTAAAGCTTGGTTAGAATGTGTCGAAGTCCGGCAGTGTTGTTGACCCATTCAATGATGCCGCACTCCTCGTTGAGGGGAATCACGGCGTAAGTTCGGATATGTAGCTCCCTCCGTCTTGACTCAGCATCTTTACGTAGGCACTACACACACACACACACACACACACACACTAGCTACTGCTTGTTCCATACCTTCTTTAGAGTGCAGTACCACATTTTGCACAAGTACAGTACACAGATATACCAATTTATAAGGTACAATTGTACAATCTAATGTGATCCACACAACAGTCCTATAATAAATTTTATCTCTGTGGATTTCACATCTATATGATAATCTTTAATGGTGCAATAAAGCAAAAAATAAGACCACACTCCCAAATTTAATAAGCTGGTAGTAAGTACAATTCGAGGGAGAAATTAACTCACAAAATATAAAACCTCTGAGGAGTTGGACAATATCACACACCTTGTTGATGAGGCAGTTGAACTCCATGAGTCTGCAGTCCTTCCTCAGGTCATCTTTAGGTTTACACATCATGGTATAGCTCCGCCCATCTGAACCTTTCAGACTTATCTTTTTTGGCTTCTGTAAGGAGGCCAAGATCTCCACCTACATACACGCACATGTTAAGTTTATGACGCATATGCCATTTCAAGGTGATTTTTATGATCATCCCAGATTTTCTATCATGTTGCCGTATGACTGCTCTTTGCCTGAAAAATGTCTTTGTAGACAAAACAATAATGTAATCTTAGGCACCTTCCTACGAAAAAGGCTGACAACAAGAATCAGCGCCCTCATTCCTTTCCCTTACATTGTCTTCAAAGCCATCCAGGTATGCCCAGTGTCCAGGGAAGGCGTCGTGCTGTGTGTTTGCCCCGCCAGTAGAGGGCAGCGTAGGGATGAGGACCGACTGCAGTGGGATCAGGATCTGGCTGAAGGTCGGCTCCTCCACCAGGCGTTTTAGCTGCTTGAAATGAACGCTCATACTGAGTGTGGTGCTGTTACCATCCACCTGAAAGACACATTCAATCAAACATGTATCTGGTGCTGCCTTTATATATTTTCTTTTTATGTGTCCCTCTTTTACTGGCTACTGCAAGCACCTGAAGGGGATCAATAAATGTTTTGATCTGATCTAATCATGCCTACCAATAAAATGTGGTGGTCCAGATTCACTATTAAAGGGTTTCAAGATTTTATAGGGAGCTTTTGAATTACGTGGACAACTATATTTTATGTTGTGGCTCCACACTTCATTGAAACTAATTATCAAACAACATGCTTTTATCAAGGGAATAGTACCTTAAAACGTATTGCTATGCAATACAAATGTGTACATAATATGTACATGTGCTCTCTTACTTTTAGAATGAACTTACACTAACATATAGTAATCCATATTGACAATTATTATAGATTTGCCATCTTTAGTTTAAAAAAATGTGTATTTTTAAGATTAAGAATTCACATACTATTGTGTACATAACATTTATAAGGCTTCAATAACCAAAGTTTGGATGTGTACATTCTATTTTAATTTCATGTAAAATATAATACTTGTGTATTGTGTACCGGTTTGTTGCAGAGCTCCAGCAGCTTGTCAGTCAGTCTGTTGGCATCTCCAATGAATTTCTCCAGAGACTGTTTAAGACTGATGGCTTTCTTAAGGATCTGATTACAGCGATTCATACGCATTGGGTAGGATGACTGAAAAAAAAACAAAAAAACAAACGCCAAACAACACTTTTTATAAAAGCAATATAACAGTCTTCTGAGTTTGTGCTAAAAAATCTGGTCATTCAACCAGAAAAAATATTGTATAAGGGACTGTAATGTTTGTAAAGGGAACTGATCCATTAAATTACAAAAATTATAGTTAAGGAAATGTGTGGAAATATACACTCGTTCAAACAAACAAGCTTTAGGGGTTTCTCGACCATGCCTTTAATCTGCAACGATGCAGTACATAAGGCCCTGATAATTATCAAGGTGACAACCATACATACACACCTACCTTAGAGACAGCAGTCATTAGCCACATGGCCTGTTGGGGGTAAGCCAGGAACACTTTGGCTACGATGGTCACGAGGACGGTGAAGACCTCGTCACTGGAGTGACACACCCTGGAGATGAGCTGGGAGAAGGCAGTCAGGAACTGGTACGGTGCCAAGTTTTCACAGTGCTCGCTCACCGCCGTATTGATTTTCCCCAGCTCCAGTCGCATCTGTCTGTCTGCTCGCCCAGCTGTAGTGGAGGGATTTGTAGATAGTATTTAAATGTGTTTACATGTTTTTTCTGTCACCACTGTCAACAGCTTATAAAAAGCTAAAAGTAAATAGGCATAAAGTGGTGGAACTGCTAGTGAGTTAGCCAGACACTGGAAGTATTTTCTTGCCCTGTATGTTTATTTATTTTACACTTCCAGTCACTTCTAGGCACCCACCTTTCTCACACTCGCATACTTTGGCTCCAAAATCCAGCCAGAGAGACAACATGCGAGGCATGGCCTGATAGATGTACTGGTTTCCAAACTGCAAGGCTCTGAGAGGAAAACAACCACAATGATATGGTTGATGACAAAACTAATGAGTCTACGGTGGACTAAAGTTTGTTATAACAGTCTTTTTGAATCTTTGTCATAGAGTGAAAGGCAGGCAATCAGCAGTAATAACAATAACTTACTTTCCGAAGTATGTGACAATGTATCGGATGAGGTTCCCCTGTTTCTCCAGCTTGTTATCAGTCACCATTGGCATCACTTTGTCATAGTACTTGGCCAGGTAGAAGTTTCCATCTTCCCACTCAGGCAGAAGGTTGGTGACATCCTAAAAAAATCAAATTAATTTAAATTATTTCCTTAATCACTTAATTGGTCTATAAAATGTCTTTAGAAAAGTGTGAAATATGCCCATTGTCAGGGCTTAATTCGTGTAACAGGCGAGGATATAAGGAGACACTGTTGTTCAGGCTCAAGCCTAGCAGATAACAGGGTTTTCTTGAGTCTTGTATGTGTACAGACTGACTTTCATTTAGAATGTCATGCATGTATCCTCCAGCCTTCTTAGATAAGACATCAGCATCTAAACATCCAGCAGATTGGCTGCTCAGATTTAGGCCACTTAAAGATGACCATGTAGGTAAAGACCATAGACACAATGGGATAGCTTAGAGAAAAACATTTTGGACCAAGAGGGATTCTGCAGATTTTGGTGTTCGTTATGCATTGTGTTCTCACTCTGTATGCTGATGCTATGATCTACTCGGCCAGTAGCGTCATTAAACAATGCTATGTAAGACATAGCAAAAAAACTTTACAAACAAAAGTTTTGTAAAGATAGCCAAAACAATGTTGTTTACTTATCAAGTAAGACAAAGAAGCAACATATCCTCACAATTTCAAAGCTGGAATAGGAAATGTCTGCTATGAACCCAATCAAAATATTTGACGAATATAAAAGGTACATGTCTGGTGGCTTGCAATATTTGCATTATTGCCCATACAGTGTCCAAAAAATTGTCAAGTGCATCTCGAAAGCTCTACATGAAGCATTCATATTAATGATGTCCAGTTTGTTAATGAGTTAATATAATTTGCAAACTCATTGATAGTATTTAATCAAAGCCATTAACTTCCTGCATAGCAGTTCAGTCCTTCTACAAATACCATGGCTGTTACCTTGTATGCCTTCATGATGGCATTTGACTCGAAGTTGGCCGTCTCCTCCATGAAGCGTCCCACCAGCAGCATGGCCTTCCCTTTGGTCTGCAGGATGCGAGGGTCTGTCAGCGGCTGATCATCAGGGAAACACTGGGCCACGCCCTTCTGCAGGACGATCAGGGCCTGGTGTACATCGCCCTGATGACAGACCAACAAAGAAGCTTTTATTGGTGTTGTTTTGTGTGTTTGTGTGCATGTGTATGAAAATCTGATTTTGTAATCTGGGCCCATATTTATCAAGCTTCTCAGATTTACTCATAAGAACACTGCTAAGAACTGACTTAAGAGTAAAATAATTCTCAAAGCTGTGCTTAAAAGTTAGTTATCAAGCATCATAGTCCTAATTTGAGTGAAGTGTAGGACTAAATCTTAAGTGTCAGTCTTAGTGCTGATTTACGACACTTTGCTGTACCGCAAACAGGATTTTGGATGACGATCGCCAAGGACCAATCACTAAATAGATTTCCTTCTTTAAGAATATTCTCAGATAAATTCACATTGAATGGTGAAATTCCTAAGAGGAGTTTATATTCAACACACATTTAACAATAAAAAATTTTCAAGATAATAAATTTTGATATAGGCCTATATCACATTAATAACACATTAATAAATGAAAGATAAAAAAAGTCTATCTTTATATGAGCGCCATTAAATGTAAATGTTCCGTACTTGTATAGCGCCTTTCCAGTCTTTTCGAACACTCAAAGCGCTTTTACACTACATCTGCATTCACCATTCACACACATTCATTCACTGAGCCTAAGTGCTCAAACAGAAACTAACATTCACACACATTCATACCCTGGTAGAACAGCCAGCAGAGGCAATTTGGGGTTCAGTATCTTGCCCAAGGATACTTCGACATGCAGCCTGGAGGAGTCGGTGATTGAACCGATTAACAGCCAACCCGCTCTACCTCCTGAGCCACAGCCGGCTAGTGCTCCTGTATTGCCAGCTATTGGCATTGGTTTGCTTCTGTCGGATTATGGGGGGTGTTGTTGAGAAGTCGATGAAACGTGTGACAATGTGTGGAGCTGTAAGTGCAATTGTTTCATTGACTATTCGGCTTATTGATGGTTGTGAGGGGCCAAAATAATCAGCATTGCTGCGTTTGTCCTGTGGTAAATAAACAAAGCTTCTTCACCACCTTCAATTTAACTGAAAACGTATTATTGTGTAAAGTCAGTGGTAAGATGACGTCCCTCACCAACTCACTGACAAAGTTCATGCCTGCGCAGTCCGACCCCGTCTTATTAACTGCGCGTCGTCAGAATTCATCCTCTCCTCTCCGCATGTCTCTGTCTCCACAATGCCATCACAAGCCCTACTTGAGAGACCTGTTGAGCTGTCTTAAATAACTGGGAGAGTAAGAGTAATTCTTAGCTTTGAGAAATTTGTAACTTTTATTCTTAAGTTTAAAAGTAGGAGTAAATTTCATGAATTCTCAGCACTTAAGACTAAAATGGCACTTTGAGAAGCTTGATAAATACCGGCCCTGATTTTTTTCGAAATGCATTAACTGACACTAATATACCTTTTAGTAAGAGTTGTAGCAGTAATGCAGGCACAAAACAGGGTCAGCGAGACACTGATATTGTGCTTTAAGAAGTTTTAGTACTACAATTTACAGATCCAAAATATGTAGTGCTACTGATCACATCAGGCAAAACCACACACTTGAACAGCATGAATATATTACATACAATTCTTCAAGAAATTCTTAGTCATACTATACAATAGTTAAATTTAAATGATGGTTTTACCTTGGAAAAAAGCCACTTGGCCTTCTCTGTAACCAGCTCGGCCAGGTGCGTGTTCTCAGCATTCAGAAGTGCATTAAAGGCGGTCTGGTGGTGTCCTGCTTTTCTGGCTACCCGGGCACTTTGCAGCCAGCACTCCCCTACCAGCTCCTTGCTCATAGGCCTGCAGAGCACACGGAAGGCCTGATTTGTGACGTGGCCAGGACTTGGAAAAGTTACACATATTTTGTTCAGATTAACATCTTAATCAGCAGCCCACACAGAGAAATATGATATGAAGTGCGCCTGTTTGCATGCAGATGTTTCTACATCCTTACTGGGGTCCCAGGCTTAACAAGGCACGACGGAGGGCCAGGATTGGCTCCTTGGCCCTAAAGGAATTCTGGGTCATCTCCAATCGATCTGACCAATGAGGAGGCAGCTGGCTGAGGCTGGGGGCCGAGCATTCCCTCTGTTTCTGCAGTTCGGTAAAAGAGTGCTCCAACTCGCTGAGCATGTGGAGCCTAAACAAACACACACATACGCACAAAGATTTTGGATTTACAAGTTATTGCTACTAACAAATAGAAATCAACTATAAAAAAACCCATAGAAAACATAACTGATTCAAAGAATAAACTGACACACACATACCTGACGATGTACTCATAGCCTCTCTGGTAGGTTCCACACTCATAACTGGCTGCAGACAGAGGGACAACCTGTTCCTTCCTCACCAGCTTCAGCTTCTCATAGAAAGCCTCAGAGTCTTGCTTCTTAGCTGACAGCAGTAACTGGCCAAGCCGCACACCCCAGGTACTGGACTGACGGTCTGGAGACACAACGGTAGTGCAAAACTTAATTCAAAACTTCTCTGAATTAGATTTTTTTTTAAATGTAGATATCTATTGCTGCCATATAGTGCCACCAGTGGTTGAAGATCATCTGTATATTTTATTACCTGAACTCAAATAATCTTCCAGCAGGTCCCATTTTCCGAGTTTCCATGCTGCCTCCACCCTGTAGGTGTTCAGCTCCGACTTCCACTGGTGCCTAAATGTGTCCATGTACAGTATAGCTTTTTTCAGTGGACCTTAACTGACTTACATGTGCTCCAAGTAAAAATTACAACAGTGCATTAGTTAAGAAAGCATGAAGAAATCAAGTCACAAGATTAACTTGAAAATAAAAACTATATTTCTTCACCACCTACAGCTGAAGTGGATTTATCTTAAATTAGAAAGCACCTTTAGTGAGAATGATGGGTTATAATGTGTGTGTCTCACTTGTTTGCCAGTACTCCATTGACCTGAGTGATGACTGTTGACAGCTGTCCCAGGCCGAGCATAGAGGTCATCACCCCATGATAGTGACCAATCTATACATGAAAGGGACAACGTAAATGAGAATTACAGAGAGATACAGCAGTGAAACAAACAACACACTCTTCTTTCATCTTAGTATAAGAGCTTGTATTGATTAGTTAAACATAGTTTTCTTTGTTTGTACATTGCACCAAAAAAGTCAAAACTAAAAGGCAGAATTAGCAAGACACTAAAACATGGTACTGTTTAACAGTAATTAGAGAAGTTTTCACATGTTTTATGATGATGGTGTAAGCTCCCATATGAAGCTGTGTGTGTGTGTGTGTGTGTGTGTGTGTGTGTGTGTGTGTGTGTGTGTGTGTGTGTGTGTGTGTGTGTGTGTGTGTGTGTGTGTACCTGGTCTGACTCCAGCTGTATGGCCCGGTCATAGCAGGCAGTTGCGTCTCGGAGCAGGCCAATGCTCTCATGCTCCAGTATCTGTTCCCGTAGTGATGGCTCCTCCCTCCTCAGGGCATTGACCCCCCTCACTCCATCAGGCTCATGCATCGCAGCGTACAGTGTCTGCAACAGCCAATCATAAAAAAAGTTCAGAGAGCTGCAACTTACTCTTAACAAGGGCTAGGAGATCATTTGTATTATTGTTTATTGATTTTCAGCATCACATTTGATGATATGGCCTTCTTACTGTCTTATTTTATTGTTCTACAAATTGCTGTTGTTTGGGGTGATATTATACATACCCATGAGACACTAGTATGATTAATTTATATGATTTTTTCTTTCATTTGCCATATTGTAAATTATAATCAGAAAATATTCTTTTTAATATTTTGATTATGATTTCAGCCTTATAGTTCAACCCCTTCCCTTAACCGTACTTCTGTTAAACTTACTGACAAATTATTATTCACTACAACAATGAGCTAAATGTGTAAAGCAGATGTAATGAGGTGATTGATTAAGTATCCTTATCCTTAACTATCCTTACTCCACACTCTTAAATAGGGTTTTATCCAGTCGCAGAAATGCTAGATTTGCATCACAGCACGTAATGAGTCAATGTTCATCTGTATACTCAAACACATGAAAGCACACGAATGAGCAAGGTAAGATGAGGTAGCCTATTTTAGATTCTTTTACAAATCACATGTTTTGATTGTTTATTTTACCTTTTTCAAATAATTTTTGCTGGCTCTAAAAACTCTATAACTGTACTAAATAACTGTAATTCTGTAAGACATCAAAATATGTTGGTAACAACCAAGATGTCCCCAAGCAACTTGTTTTTTTAATTTCAATCTAAAAGCAGAAGAAATGAGCACACTTTAGCAAAGAAATATATTCCACTGACTGTTAACGGACCTGCAGAAAGGTGAGATGGTCCAGGATGTTCTCTTTGTTTTCCAAGATGTATGCTTCAAAGTGCATGAGTGCACGAGTGTACGCTTTCGATCGTAGCGAGGCTTTTGCCAGAACGTCCTGTGGAATACCCTTCAGGAAGGCCACCACACGCTGATACTCCCCACTCTCTGCAACAAAACATTTTAGTTTTTCACTTTGCTCGATAGTCAATAATGCAGGTTAGAGAACAACAAGGATACATGCAACATGCATCAGCTCACTGAACGTAATGTGTAAATATTTCTGAACAATATTTTCTTGTAAATAATTGTCTGTTCTGTTGTCACTTACAGGTGATTCAACCTTTAAATGTCTTTTAAAAGTCTCAGATCTCTTGTAATAATACTGAAGATATGAAGCAAAAGAGATAAAGTATGTTTTTGTCTAATCTGAGGCGAAATTCAAATTATTGCCACTGACCATATAAATCTACAAAAAAGGGCGTCAAGAACTTCAATAAACTAATCATGCATGTGATTGGCAAAGGGCAAAAAAGCAGGAAAATATACTGAGAACGCCCCACACCCCGATAAAACTGGCCACGGCTCTATTATAACATGGATGGTATAGCAGGACCCATGACAACAACTTATTTGGTCGATGTGTTGCAGTGGGAATCAAAGACAAGTGTCTAATCCACTGCACCATCGCCACCTCTCTATAATAATTATTTTGTATTCACTTTTTTTTTACCAAGCTTCAACAGTTAAATGTGCAACATGCAACATGAAATATTTGATTCTATAACTAAATAATATAACTACTAATTTTCAAATTATTTCAGTAGAAGTTAATAGATTATTTTTAATGAATAAGAGACAGCAGCAAAGGTCACTGCCTGTTTAAGACCTGGTGGCCTAACTGTTAAAGAAACAGTTATATTATTCAGGAAACTCGGATCAAACAGTCAGATCAGTCTTTGTCAATAAACTGTAGGAGAAAGTTTTCACATTTCAACTCTGGCAGTGGGCGGGCGTGTGCATGAGACGAGAACGACCACGCCAGTTTCACGGGATCGCGCCAGTTACCCAGAAGCCGTTGCTATGGTTACCTCGCGGAGCGCTTGTTTGTCTGTTGACGAGGAGCGCAGAGCGACCCTGCAGGTCAAAGACGTCTGAAAAGGCCTTATATTAACCCCGTAAAAACCATTAACAAGAAATTAATTTATAACTTGCCAAAACCTTTAACATAAGGACATAAAGAGAAAGGCAACCATTCATACAGCAAAGTGTATGTAGGCTATATGATTGATCAATCCACAACAACGTCAAAGTAAACATTAGACAAAGCCTATCACAACCAATAATCAAAACATACCCAATTTATCTGGTCCTTATTGTCAACTCAGTGTTGGGCAAGTTACTCAGAAATAATATAGCTATTACCTAGTCACTTAGCATATAGGCTACTGCTTAAAAAGTAATATTAGCTACTCTAGCCTATTTATTACTGGGTGATATAACGCCACTCTCTCCCGATGAGTCCAAGCATCACTGGCAGACTGCGCAGGTGTGGAATGGGCAACTGAATTAATCCGGAAAAATCACATCCCTGACTAATGTTCTTTTCTTCTAACTGATCTGTTTCAACACTGTGGTGAAAGACAGAGATTTTGTGAGTTCGGGGAATGCATCACCAACCGTTGTGTTTGGGTTTGGAGTAGAGGATGTGGCGGCTCCACTGTGTGAGGTGAGACAACATGCTGAACACTGTCTGAATACTGAGCTGTGATAAGCTGGAAGCAGTCTCCTGACAACCCCCCTCTCCTCGTCCATCGCCTTCAGTCAGCACGGCCATCATTTCCTCCGTTACCTGGAAGGAGCTGTGTTATTATTGCCCTCCACCCCAAATCCTGTATCAGCTCTTTTACAAATACAAGTGATGCAAAAGTGTCCTCACCTCCTGTTGCTCTGCAGGTGTGCAGCCCAGCAGCATGTAGAGCAGAATATGAGGCAGCAGGTAGATAGTGACCTTGTAGTCGTGTTTGATGATGAAACTGCAGCAGGTGAACACTCGGCTGGCCAGCTCATGTCTCACCTAAAACACATAGAAGCAGTTCCTAAAGCCGAGTTGAAACACAAGTTTATGCCATCGTAGAAACAAGTGATGTGCTTTTTTAACATCTCTTTCGTAAAGTATGTAAAATTGAACACGTTTAAACGGTTATATTATTTGCCTGATATGTAATTATTCATAATTATACTGTCTTGACTATACATTATTTTTGTTGTTGGTTCATGTTTGGTCTCAATGTGCTTGAAACCTTTGCAAGTATTTTATGCATGCATTTGTTGTCATGTCAGTTTGTCAAGAACGGACTTGCTCACAGCAGATTTTTGACCTCCATAGTGATATTCAAAATGTCATCACATTAGTTAAACTTGCATTTGGAAAGTCAAAATGTCCACTGTGAAAACAGGTCTACAGAGAGAATGCATCAGTCCTATAAAACGCAAAGTACTAAGTATATGACAAATTTGAAGAGATCCGTTTGGCTCTGCAAAAGTGAAATAAATTAGATTACCTTGCTGATGAGGTATCCGGCCCAGGTGGCTGACCAATCAGAGAATTTGCTACCTCTCTTACTCAAGTACACCGGCTTCTTCAGTTTAGACCAGTTAACATCCTTCTGACTGCTCTTATACCTGAAGATAGAGAGGGAGAAATGATCAGAGGATTGTAAATAAAACAGGTTACAGAGTTAGGCCAGGTTAGAAGGTGGGAAAAATAATAAAAAAAATTAACAACAACTTTCACTTGGGGATTATGATCCCCTGAATTAGGTGTGAGACCATTATAAGACAAGATCAGAGTGTTTATGTGCTATACGGCTGAGTGTGTAAAGTTGAATACCTGCTGTTGAGGTGTGGTTCCAGTATTTCCTGGATCTGCTCTGGGAATCTCCTCCACAGGCGCCGCCCTGGCGAGTCGGTTCGACCCTCACGACACTCAAATATGGACAGCAGCTCCTACAGTTCACATGACAGCACCAACACATATTAGAGACAAGACATGAGCCAAGACAGAGACAGAAAGGCGCATACACTCATTTAAGCTGTTGGATAGGCAAAGTGACTGTTTGCAAAAGTGTGAGTGCAGCACATGTGTGTACCTGAATTGCATAAGCAGCAGAGTCCTGTGCCCTCACGTCATCAGCGTAAGCCAGGAATGTTCTGGTCAGTTCAGTCAGCAGGTCGTAGGCGAAGTTGGGATCATCAACTCCACTCTGTTCACAGTGAAAATAAACACATTCATGTCTCTGCACGGATGGAAGTATAAAAATGATGATGTATGTTTAATATATATATATATATATATATATAATATATATATATATATATTATATTATATATATATATATATATATATATATATATATATATATATATATATATATATATATATATATATATATATATATATATATATATATATATATATATATATATATATATATATATAGATGTTTGTTGATCTGTTTGGATAATTATCACATTCTGTCCGTTTATATTATAATACTTTGACTAAGATGTTGATTTTATAGATGTATAATCATGAGAAAAAACAGATTGTACTGGTCACATGACCTGCATAGGGTCTATTTAGCACACCTGTAAGTGTTTTTGTAATTTAACTGTGTACGCCTGAAGAAGCGATGGGCGAAATGCGTTGCTCACAATAAAGGTAGTAAAGTCAGATCAGTGTGCAGTAGTTTGTTTTTGGATTTTTCATAGGCTTATCCTGCTATCTACCAGCACCTGATTGTTGTTGCAGTGCTCTGGGAGTTTCTTGTTTCACTACATACTGTATATGTTTGTTTGTTTTTCTACACGCACAGCTTTGGTCGTATCTTGCTTACCACAAAGGTGTTGTGGTCGCCATGGGTGTGTGTGTGCGACAAGTCCAGACGTCCAGGATCCACGGCCCCCAGCTCCCCCAGACACTCGCCACAGAGGAGCCTCGCCTCTGGGGACGAGTCCTGGCAGCCCTTCAGCAGCACCGACACCAGGCTGGAGATGACGGGCTCCACCGCCTCACTCGCGCAAACCTGCCGCAGCAGCCATTCCTGCAGCCCACAACACAAACGAAAAAATATGGTACTCCGGATTTACGTGGCAACATAGTGCTGAAATATGTAAACTGCTGTAGCGGTCCACATAAAGGTATTCCTTCCCAACCCACACTTATTTTACAGCATGGGATCGCATAAATTGTACAGTCAGTGAAGGTGATGTATTTACTAATTATGTTAACACCAGAAAGTAAACTATTATTAATTACTACTAACATTATTCAGATACTTTGATTCCAACAAGGACATTATTATTTTAAACTTGTAAACAAGAAGCTTGAACTCTAGTCCTTTCACAGTTAGTTGTCTAACAATGAGTGTGTGTTTGCGTACCTGCTTGCTGTGCATCATGTCCTTGAGGCTGGTCAATGCGTGAATCCTGACATCTACGTTTTCATGCTGAACGGCTCTCATGGAGAGCTGCAGTGCTGCGGCCAGGTCACTGCTGCTGGCTGTCAGCTGGTGGGTGGAATCAGACATCATAAATTAACATTATCTGTATATTTTTTTTCCTTTAACACGACTGATGTCAACCAGTAACCCTTGCCACCATCTGCATCCTTCATTTACTTGTCATCATGATCTTTCTCTTGTCCATACTGACCTTCTTGTAGTCCTGCAGAACTGTGTGGATGTCTTTCAGCTCAGGGTGGTCTGGCAGAAAGTAAATCTCATGGAGGTAGTCATTGACTTCTTCTCTGTGAGAAATTGACTAAATTAGGTCGCTGCTGTCTGGTATAAAGTGCTCATCTCTTTTGCCATTAATTTTAATTAATGCAGGAAAAGGATGAAAATTAGCTTGGTTTTGATTTTGATAGTGCATTTGATTTGATGTGTGACTTTCTGCACAGGCCCAGTTTGGTGTTTTTTAAAACTTGTATGTGTTTATTACCTGTTGTCCAGTATCAGGAAGTGGATAATAGCAGCTGTTTCTTTGGGCTGCAGTGGGATCAGGGGGAGCAGTGCAACAATAACATGACTTAGAAGAGGGCCTAAGTGCGCCGGCTCCACGCTCCTCACAAAACAGTCCCATGTTCTGTTCTCACAGGAAGAGGAAATCAGTATCAGAAGCAGGTGATTTTAGCTAATCATACAGGATTTAGTAGACAAAGATAGGTTAAAGTTCTATCAAGTATGTAATCAAACAGAAATTACCAGTCTGCAGTGTAATAAAGATGATGGTAAAGAGGGTTAAATACATTTATACATGGCTAAAGTCAGAGTAAGGATCTGGGAGGATAACTAACATTTGCCTTCAGACAACACTTGGCAGCAATTCAGCAGTAAAGCAATGTTCCTCTATGCCTTAACTGTGATCAGGGAAACGGGTGTGAAATGTTCATTCATAACAAATATTTTTAATAAAGTAAATAAATTTTAAAAAGGTTGCATGTCAGTTTTGACAATTACAAAAGCTATATATCCGATATACAATTACTGTTGTGACCTTAAGTGAGAGTGTGAGTACTGACTGGCAGCAGAGTAGAGGGAAGTCCTCTCTGTATCGGAGGCCCGTGCGAAGAGTTGTCATCATCTTTACTCTGACAGAGCTGATGTGTTTGGAGCCCATCAGTCGCATTAGAGCCATCACACTTGTCAATGCCTGCACAGAAAATCGGTGGACAGAAAACAACATTGACCAAATCAGATACATCATCAATCACGTAAAAGCATTTTTCAAAGCAGTGTTTTTCTTGCCGTGAACATTATTCTCTATGATCTATGAAATCTTTCTCACTGGAACAACACATTCTCAAATATCAGTTATTTAAATTAGTTCTCAGTAGTGGATCACACACCAACTTCTTGCGGTCCTTCTCTCCTGCGCTGGAGCTGAGCAGCTGCATGTTGAAGAAGGCAAGAATTCCCAGCAGTTTCGGCTGCAGATAGTCCGCCTGTCACGGTATGACCAAATAAAGACAAGTGAGGAAAAATATAGATGAATGTTTAAAATTTTTTTTTTTTTTATTGAACAACATTTGCTGAGTTAGATTAGTTATAATTTTATTTTGTTATTTTGTGAAAATATATAAAAAATATTTCCAAACTATCTATATGGTCAAAGATGGTCAAGATAAAACCGTAACACCGTATTTAACTCGTCACGTACCATGCGTTCTGGGGTGTTGATGTCTCGGGGACCCTGGTATGGGTCATCATTGGACGCAAAGGAAGCCAGGATTGCCAGACCATTGAATACCTACATAGAAATGTAAAACACACATGTGATCAATCACTAAACCACCAAGTGAATGAATTACTGACATCTATGCACACAAAGGCAACAAAAATATACACTGAAAAAGACTGTCGATTTTTGTCTGGGAACTTGTGTTTATGTGTGTCAACCTGTTGGTAGTGCTCTCCCAGGCGCAGCAGCAGCTCGTTGTGAAGACCCTGGAAGTCTTGCCTGAGCAGAGAGCCCAGTTCAATCTCTGTCTCACTCTGGGAGAATATTAGAAAAACAAATAAAAGGGTTTGGGGTACATCAGTCTGGTAATATAATTATTTACTATGGAGAACATCCATTGCAGGACAAATGCTTTAGTCATCGGCCAGACAGTGCTTGTAGATGCTCCCCATGTGCAGGAGTTGAAAAATGTTGATTCTGTTAACAATGCCAGAATAATTGCCCTGTTGTATTTGCTGTAGCTTGAATGTGCAGACAATTACAGATTACAGCTAGGTAGGTTAAGTTTAATTATACCTGTAGGTAGTGGAAAGCCCTCTCAAGCTCCTCCTTGGTGCAGGAACAGACCAGATGGCTGAAGATGTACTTGAAGTTGTTGATCAGGATCTCTCTCCTGTTTGCCTTCAGCTCATTGGCCAGAGTACGGATGAGGGCGGAGCCAGTAGAGCTCGCCTTAGCCGCCAGGTAGGGCAGGAGCACCTGGAGGGTCCTCTACATGTACAAGTATGCATACAAACGTACGTCAGAAATATACACGTACATATACATAATACAGTATCAATGTACTATCACATCCAACATACTGTACACAGTACATGATGTATATATTGTGTGATGTTGTGTAGTTATGTGTATGACATACAGTGAGGAAGCGATGGAGATCTGGGAAATCAAAAGCGTGTGCAATCTGAGCCAGGATGTCCAGGGCCAGCTCTCTCTGATTGGCTGATTCGCTGCCCTGATCAGGTGTGCTCCGCAGGGCGGATGCATGCCGTGAATGCAGTGACTCCACCAGGAACTAAGCATATAGAAGTTTTTATTTAGGTAAAAACTATTTAATCTCAATTGCAATACAAGTATGTTGGGCACTGAATCTTAAAGAGGTCGTATTATGCTCATTTTTAGATTCAAAATCTTATTTAGGGGTTGTACCAGAACAGGTTTACATGGTTTCATTTAAAAAACACCATATTTTTTGTCATACTGCACGTTGCTGCAGCTCCTCTTTTCACCGTGTGTTGAACGCTTCGTTTTAGCTATGGAGTGATGCATCTTGCCTCTACAAGATCTTTGTTGGGAGTTGCACATGCGCAGTTTCTAGTTATGGACTGCTAGCCAATTACAAGCAGAGTAGGGCGGGTCGTGAGAAGTAACACGGTAGCAGCTTCGGTTCAGCTGTATTTGTTCCCCCTACCAGCTTAGCAAGATGGACTGGCGCAAGAGTTTCAGAGTGGTGAGTTATTAATTGTGTGTTGCTGCTCAGTGTGTTCTTCCCCCTGTGTTTTTGAGGGCGTGTCGGACTAGTCGCTAGGTGAGCATTATGACGCCCATTTTGACGTGACATCACAAAAGAAAAAAGGAAAAGGCTGGACTTCAAACAAGCTGTTTTCAGGCAGTTCAGAGCAGTGTTTTCTGTGGGAGATGGGAACTCCCTTTGGGCTGGACAAACCTATTACATGCACAAAAAAGGTTAATAAAGGAGAGAGAAAAAGCCAAAAAGCATAATATGACCTCTTTAAAGAATTTACTTCTCAAATTGTTCTCCACCTACAAATACACACAGTCATGTGGAAACCTTGTTACGTCACAACCATCGTCATAACTTTCATACTATTTGCGTAAAACAAAAATTGTAGTAGTACAAATTCTTAGTGGTCCAAACATTCAGCCTAAATAAACATGAATACTAATTGAAAACAAGCATTACAGACAGCCCTGCTACACATTTAAATCGTAGTATTGGTAATATATGTAATTATTATTCATAGTATTATGGACTGAGAATCTTAAAATTTATCTACTTCAGATAAACAAAAAAGTTAAAAAATGAGCACTGGCTTATAACCTTATTAAAGTAACATCACAGTTTTTATACCTGACAAATAGGGTTCTTGTACTGACTGAAGAGGGTCTGAAGTTTAAGACCTTTGGCAGTAGCCAGGGCTCTGATCTGAGTGTACGCAGCTACAGACACCAAGGACGACTTGGACAGCAGACAGTGGAGCAGCCGCAGCAGAGAGAACGACACCAAACTACCCTGAGACGCTCTGACAGAAGAGGAGACCGATAAACACATTTAACCAAAACAATTATTTTAAATAAGTCTTTTCAAAAGATTAAATCTCTTCATTAATGACAATTTCAGGGACAACAAAAGATACCAGACATTAATTAAAAACAGACTATATATTAATAGAATAGAAATATGCGAACATTGAGACATTAAGAACTTGTGAAAATTACACTATATTAAACATGCATGTAAAGATGTGCAAATGATGACTGTAATTTCGCTACCCTCAGTCATAAATAAATGTACTTTTATGATCAAATATGCAGAGCAAATTAAGGTATTTTTGAGTGATCACAACACAGCTAGTGGCGCTCTTTGCCCTTGTGAATAGACGCAGGTCAACTGTACCTGCCAATCTCTCCAGTGGTGAGGATGAGAGTGTTGCGCAGGTCGTCATCTGTGTTCAGTTTAGCGTTGTTGAATGCCTCTTTGAGACGGGCAACCAGGAGCTTGGATAGCGAGAAAACACACACACACACACACACACACACACACACACACACACACACACACACACACACACACACCACACACACACACACACACACACACACACACACACACACACACACACACACACACACACACACACACACACACACACACACACACACACACACACACACACACACATCATTAACCTCACCATCATTCACAAAAAGGCATCATCCCAAAAAGGTGAGGGCAGGTCAGCTCTAAAATAAAGTATACACCAAGTAAGAAAGTAAAACTTTTCACCTCTTCGTCTTTTTCACTGAACTGAGGAAATTGTGATTTTAAGGCAGCATTTAAACTGAGATCAATTGCTCAGTTATTGCCTAATTTACTTTTTTTTAAAATATATTTTATCCTTTTTTGTCTGACAGTAATGTATTTATAATACAAATGATGGCTTGTAGATGGTTGAAACTGAGTGTAAAGCACAGACACTTGAGTCTTACAACAGGAAATACTCACCTCATTCAGAGAGCCGTGCTCAGAGTTTCTGGTAGTTTCTGTTAGCAGGAAACGCACTGATTGGCTAAAGCGTATTCTGACCATTGGATCAGAGTCTTCCATTAAACCAATCAGAGCATAGAGAACTGCCCGGGAGTCACTGTCTCCACCAACCAGATTCACATGCTGGCAGAGGTGAGGCAGAGCTTCTAGGAAAGCTAAGAAAGTGAAATAAATAAGTAAATAATATACTGATGTAAATGTAGTATCTTTTAGGCTTTTCAGCATGTTATAGCTCATTTTGAAAGAAAACTGACAAAAAAAAACCTTGTTTAACACTGCTTGGAGCTTGCTGTCTGAGCAGTGGTAGGAAGGGTTTGATAAAAGTCGCCCTAAGGGATGGAAAAGTCTTCCCAGCATGCTCTGTTGCAAGGTTTAGTTGGTGGCAGAGGATCTCAGGACGATGAGTGGACTCTGTGCGGGTGTCACTGAGCTTGGAGAGCTCCGATTGGATACAGCTCAGCTGACCGATGATCCCAGCAAGCTCTTTCTTCACCTGCTCCGAACTGTCCTCCAGCCTGGAACTGCAAACGGTCAAATGTACACCAAGTTTAATACAGAAAAAAAAAGTAAAATCATAAATGAATGATTGCACTAAAGCGAGAAAGAACACTTTCATGATCATATTTGCGACTGTGAACATACTGTTCAAACATATACATGTGCTTACAGCAGAGTAGAGCTGATGAGGTTGTGGTGTGCATTTCCCAAGTGGTGAAGAAAAAGAGGGAAGGCCCTGACTGCTGCCGCTCTCACCACCTCATCTGAACTCTGCAACGTCTTGGAAAACACAAACACGCGCCATGTCTCGCACACACCACGACGCAGAAGGGCCAGCAGGGACACACAGTCTGCCTGGATCTTAGGTGCTGGAAAGACAAACACGCACAGTTTGATTCATAAGTTTTCAATCCAAGGTTTATTATAAATAAAATGGAAGCTATTTACATCCTGACTTCACAAAAAGATGCAGGTAGCAGCTACAGGTGACCAGAGAAGTTGTGATGCAGGAGAAATACCTACAGTAACAGAAGCTGAGTCTGTTGGCGAAGGCAGGCAGCCAGGAGGGGAATCCTGAACTCTTATAGGCTGAGACAGACCTGTTCTCACACACCCAGGGAAGAGACAGCAGAGCACACACTCGCCGCTGGAGCCCGTCCTCACTGTGGCTGCTCACTACACAGACACACGCGGTATTGAAAACAGATACTGTACTGACAAGGATGTGCTTTTGGGGTGACTTCTGCAATATTCTTCGGAGGTTGAACGCTACATAAAATACACAAATTACACTAAATAATGGCAACATGAACAGACAATATGCCTTTCTTGTGACATAAAATAAATAACACAGCAAACAAATAAAAGGAGCAGTATGTATAATGTGTGTTTTTGTTGGAGTATATATCCTTACTTGTCAGGTAGAGGATGGAGTCCAGGATCCCAACAGTAGTCTGGACAGCAGACAGAAAGTAGTTCTGGTTTGAGATGGGCTGAGGACCTCCTTCTAACACTGACTGACAGCTCTTCAGGGCCCTGCCCAGAGTCTCAGTGGGCACCCAGAGAAGAGGAGAAGGGCTGTCAAGAAAGACACCGGGGAAGAAAGTGACAGAATATGCGACTAAGCTCAGTGAAAGAAATAAGACAAAACTATAAAAATACTGGAAAGTTTGTATATCCGTGTGTCAGGAAGTAAAACAAAAACATAAAGAAAGGGAGCTATAGTGAACACATGTTTGTGAGTTACCTGGTGGGAGAGGAGCAGAGGGCTGCCAGGTGGAGGATGAGCGCCAGACCCTCCAGAGCAGACAGAGACTGTGTGGTTTCAGGTTTGTCAGAGTTCAAAAAGGTCAGCAGCTCCTCCAGCCGACCGTTCACCACAGCCCAAACCTCACTGCAAACACGCATGTCCACCTCACTTGAGGCACAGATACAAATAATAATTTAAATACAGGAAATCTGCTGTATTGATTTATGATGCAGCACTACTAACAATTCCTACCAATCACCATGTGAGCAAGTGAAGCTTTTATTTGCTTGAAAAAAAACACTCAGTTGCTTCAGCTCATTTTCTGCAAGCACATCTGCAAGCTGTTTTCAGCGGTCAAAATCCTAGTCTTCACAGGAACCAGAAGACAGTAATGGAAATATTACAGAAAACACTTTTAAATTACCCTTTTTCAAGGCAATATAGGAGCACAGCTTCTCATGGTATCTTGGCTTGAGTTCTCCCATTTACTGTATGTTCAAAACTGGTAACAAACCTTTAAAAACTGACATGTTACTAGGCATATATCTCCTATGTATATAAGGTGTGTTCTTGCAGCCCCACCCTCCCATCATTTCCTCTCAAGTCTCTTGTGTCACTGTCAAATAAAGGCAAAATACCGGAAAAACAATTATGTCAAAAAGGAAACAAAACACTATAAAAAGGTACAGACAACCCAGCAACAACAAGTGAGAGAATAATTGAACAAATAACCACATGTATGGTGTTGTAGATCACTGTATGATATAATACAATGCACTATGGAGTCTTTTACTACAGAATCTGAACACTGGACTACATAGAGCTCAGTTGTGATTGTTAATGAACTCACTCTGATGATTTTTTTGTTGTTTTGCTGAGTGAATTGGTGGCAGACTTGCAGGATTTCTTGGCAGCAGTCGCTCTATCTCCTGACTTCTGCATCACTGTAGCAGTCTCGGCCCTCAGTGCGGCTCGAAGAAACCCCTCAGCACACTGCAAATCACAAGCACCTCAGATATTGTAAAGAGGGCGAGAAAGAAAAGATGAGACAAACACTGTATGAGAGTAAGAGAAAGATTTTCAAAAGAAACATGAAGAGCAGAACCGTACTTCAGCTTGATTTTCTGTTCCAACAGTGTGTGCCAGCGCCCTGCAGACCTCTGTGACTCGTTGCCTTCTTAACAATGCGGCACTTTCATAAACTATGGCAACAGACAGCAAGAAGCTGAACAGCAAGCAGAGTGATTCGGTAACCTCTGTCCCCAACTTGACACCTGCACTTCCAAGAGTACAAACACACTCGAACATCTGCGAGAGATAGATGGGCTCAAAGTGTGAGTGAGAGAAACCAGACAACTGAAACACACAGCAAGTCAGGTTTAGCAGCTCCCCTTCATAGGGATGTTTCTCATCCAAGTATGTGTTTGCTGTGTAAGAGTGTGTTTCCAGCAACTGAAGGTAAGCCGTGAAGAACTCGTGACCCTGCATCTCAGGAAACCCTCTGAGCTCCACCAGTCGCCTCAGCATCACCATGGAGATTGTCCTCAGTTTGGTGTTGCCATTAGCCAGGAAGGAACAAGCAGTCTCCCAGGCCACAGTGACGTCACGACGAGAGACAACCCCCCTCAGGGCGTCAGTTATGACACTGATTGTTACGGCAGTCAGTGACTCCAGGGCAGCAGGCGAGGAGAGAACAAGAGCGGAGGGGGTGAGGTACGAGGAGGCGCAAACGGGGGAGATGCTGAAGCGTTCAATTGTTACAGGCCATCGACTCTGTGTGTGAATGCCCAAAGTGTGTCCCTTTCCCGCCAGTGTGGCAATATGAGTGTACAGGATGTTACTGAGGTCCTGGGCCAAAAAAATGAGCTCCTGAGAGAGACGGCTGAAGATGAATGGCGCCCTGGCTCTCAGAGTGTGAAGTAAAGAGCACAACACAGCAGAGACCTGCTCGTGGATGACGTCACAGTCTGGAGCTGCTGCCACACGAAGCAAACGCACCGCCACCCACCTAGCAAAGTCTGAATCAAGGGAGAAATGTGGAGTGGTGGAAGAAAAATCACAAAATTATTATAGTTAGGAATTGAATTTATCTATAACTTGATATTGCAGCTTTCTGAAGAGCATCTCGTACCAGTACAGCTCTGTGTGGTGTCCGGGTACTCGGCAGGCTGGCAGGCAGGGTTGGCAAACATCAGAGATGAGGATTTGATTATATGCTGCACAAAGTCCAGCAGCATCACACAGGCCGGCTCTGAACTGGACTTCTTATTCAGCCCTAGAGCAACTGTAAGACACAACAATAGATTAGATTAACCTCCAAGATGTCTGAAAAGTTTACAAAAATCACACTTTAATTAAACTTCTCAATATTCAACCTGCAACGAGGGATCACAAGCCAAAAGGTTGTGAACCACTTCATTACCTCTTTAACTGTACAGAGCTGCTGTTATGTCAATCAATAGAAACAAATGATGTGCATCTAAAGATTGTTTTTAAGATTTTAGACCTAAAGCAGGGGTACAAAGTCATCATTTTAAATACTAATCCTTAGGGAGATCCCAGGACAAAAGAAAATAACAACAACAACATACAAACCAAACAGCCCTGGTAGGTAAGATACAAAAGAATAACAAATAATAATGTTAATTAACAAGTAAATATATGTAACAGCATAGCCACTTTCTTTTCTGACATTCAGATGGCTAAAACTGAGCTACCTACTCGTTTTGACAAAAAAAATCCTGACACAAATACAAGAGCCTAGCTCAAAGTACATAAGACTTTACATCAAGTGCATCAGTCACAGCTACAGTGCACAACTGTGGCAAGAGAAGAAATCTTAAGAAACATTATGACATTAAATTAAAGAATAGTTGAACAGACAAATCTGACAGTCAAGCTGTTATTTACAACTGTACTGTCAGGTCGTTCTGTTGTTGTGTCCACCTCCTGTATGTGCTTGAGACTCCAAGCTTACCGACATCCACATCTGTCAGTATCCTGTCAATGAACTGACAGAGGATCTGTCGAGGTTTCTGCACCGTCTGGTCGTAGTCAGCCGCGCTGGCACTGTGAATACCAACATGGTGTAACGTTATTTATGGAAACATAGCACAACGAAGAGTTTCATTAACTTATACAAAAACCAGAGGGCTCAGTTAAACCTAAACCAGTTTCAGACTCGGACGTAACGTTAGTGTTAACAGCTTAGCTTAGCCAACTTTAGCCGGTTACTCGCCTTCCGAGCTCCTGAAGAGCCGGTATCATCGCAGACATCTCCAGTCCTTCCATTTTACAGCAGCTTGATATGTCGCTATTTGAAGAATGTCTTCAAAACATATACAGGATTTGTCAGGTCATTTTAACTAGCACACTTCACACGTCATGTCCTCCATGTCCTTTCGAAAACTTTCGCTCCAAAATGACGTTTTTGTTTTGATATGGCAGCCATCGAGGGTTATTAGACCTACTCATTAACTCGAAATGAAAAATGCTCCCCCTGGCTAAGTATGTACTAATTACTTACCTTTAAAGTAAATAGTTACAGTTTATATACAGTGGTAAATTAATTACTCAGACCTTTTACTGCATTAAACGTAGAACAATACAGTGTAGAAATACTATATTACAAGTAAATGTCATATGTTTAACTATTTAACTTACTTAAGTAAAAAGTAACAGTATCAAAATACACTTAAAGGACTAAAAGTATAAGTACACACTATGCAGAATTATAGGATTATAATTACTGATGCATGAAAGTGTAAGCATACCTTTTATGTTGCAGCAGGTAAAAGTGGGGGGAATTTATATACTGCTGGGAAGCTTATTTTAATGAACAAATTTCATCATTTATTTGTTAGTAATATTTTTGAAATGCAGTGGAGTTAAAGTATAAAGTAGCAGAAAATTAAATTACTCATTAAAGTACAAGTAATTATGTTCTTAAGATACATAATGAGTTTCCAAATTCATCTAAAACAAAGTAGGCAATGTTTAGATTTTCATTCAAGTAGATTTTGATGCACATCCTGAATTAAAATGTTCATAAATTTATTTTTACTTCAGCAAGAAATTGTGGCCTAATTCCCTTGCAACTGCTGTTAAATAAGGTTGCTGGAAGTTTCCCCCCTTTTTGCCATGGAGCTTTCAGAGTTTTAAAGACACTTAGAAAAGGCTGGTTTTAATTGTTTACTCACTATATAAATTACTCACTATACAATATTTGTATTTAATGTACTTACGGACTAAAAGATGTTATAATCTACCTGGTTGATACTTTTAAAAGTGCTGAAAGAATTTGTATCAAAAGACAACACACACATACAAGGCTGTTAAGTACATCTAGTAGATTGTTTTTTAATAATGAAAAAGCAATATTCAATGCACAACATTTACAGACATGTAGGATAGATGTGTGTGTATGATTATGCATTTCTTCTGCTGTTTTCCTTTATTGTTCACTTAGCAGAAGGATTAAATAAATGTAATGTCCTATTAAATATAATATAACAAAGAGCAATTAGGAGCTTGTTCTATAAAATCTGAGCAAACAAAATGCAGTGGCTTCACTGATGAGAAAAGATTTCCAACTTTAGGTAGGCTCAAGTTGTTATCATGAAAGAATAACAAATACTGACAGATTGTCTTGCTCTGTTTGGAGCAAGGTTAAAAGTCAAAGAAAAGAAATTACATTGATAAGAAAAAGATGGAACAAAAAGACAAAAAAATGCATAGAAACAAAACGCATATTGGTGGTTGGTTTCCAGATGGTTTGTTCATGTCTTTTTCAGCGGTTGGCCTTTTTCAAACCATGGCCCATGAGGCTGGCAAACAGGGTCAGCACCATCTTGGGATTCACATCCACCAAATCGTCAGGCAGTGCGTAGACACGAGCTCCAATCTTGCGAGCCAATGAGATCGCATACCTGGGAGAGGAACAGGGAGGGAGGGAGGGAGGGAGGGAGGGGGGAAGAGAGAGAGAGAGAGAGAGAGAGAGAGAGAGAGTTAGGAGATGATGATCTGGTCACAAATATAAAGACGAGGGAAGGTGGAATGAAAAAGTTGAGACTTTTACTTAGCGTTGCTGAGTTTATCGGCATGCTTCAGCACTCCCCTCTCTACTCTCTTCACCATGTCCCATTTGACTGTACCAGGAGCGATGGCGTCGATCACGTCAATCACTGGCAGGCTCGTGCTGATCAGTTTGTCCTGCAGAAAAAGGGTAAAATGCAAATTCAGCCTCTTTTACTCAAATACACCATGCACTCACATTCTCTTACATGCACATGCATACACACACACCTTGAAGCTGCTGATCTGTGTGTCCTTGCGTTTCTGGCTCAAGGTGGTGTTGACCCAATTGAGGATAATCTGATCTCCCACCTTCTCTCCATCACCCAAATCTGACAAAACAAGCACTGTGTACCTGAAGGATAACAAGCAGGACACATAACTGAAACTGTACACTGAAAGGAACCACTAAAATCGATTCAAAATGGCCAGTCTGTCTTGTACAAGATACAATAGGAAATAACATGTCACACAGCCTTGGACGGTGTGTGTACCTCCTCATCAGCTGCCAGAGCAGCGCCAGGGTGTGCATTGGACTCCCGTCATTCAAGTTCTCTCCTCCAATGCCGACCAGAGAGAAGTGAGCTACATCCCTGCCCAGCTCCACTGCATAGTTACAGTTCTCTAGCTAGGACACGTGAAGAAAAAAAATATTACATTCCTTTCATGTTCCCATCAAAATGTTTTGTGCTCACCAGCTTTCTGTTTCTTTAATGTGTGTACATAGCATTCACACCTTCTTCATATTGGCCCCCAGGACAGGATAAGGAGGGTTGTTGATTCTCTTCCAGTTCACAGGCACATTGACCTTCTCATAAAGCTGCAGGATCACCAAACCATCACACAGGTCACTGTAGGAGACAAAACACAGAGAAAGTCTCTCAGGAGCTCTGCAGAGTTAGATTACATGTACTCAGGATTACAACAACAAAGGCAACTGTAATCGATGACCAGGGGGCCTCATGGAGTGACTATGGCTCAGAACGGTCATCTACTTATCAGAAGGTGGACAATTGGCACCTTAGCCTCTCTTCATCAGTGTATGAATGTGTGAGAACGGGGTGAATTTGATTATAGCACTCTGAGTGGCCGGAAAAACTAGAAAGGTATCCTGCAAAAAGAGTTGTAATTTTTTTCTTACAGGAGAGCATACAAATACATAGATTTAAAAAAGAAATAGGAAAGAACATTTGTGCATCCACAACTTTGGGTCAGTATCACTAATTCGAATGAACTAAGTTAGAACTACTTCTGGCTTTTTGATAAACTTCAAAGAGCTACCTTATTTTTATATTTGTGCGCTTAAAACTGGGATTCTTGTTAAGGTGTTGTTCTTGTTAACACTGTGTGGATATTTTAAAGTCCAGAATATTTTAGACTCAGTATGTTAACATTCGATTACTCTTTGACCAACAAATAAATAAATCATTGTAGGATTCACATGGACTCATGACCACAGTATTTTTTTAAATCCTGGCTATAGCCTTGTTCATGGAACTTATTATAAACTGGAAGATTCTAGGTTCTCAGTGGCAGTAATTAAGTCCATACGGACTTGGCTTGGGGACCAGAGGGTGGCTGGTTGGGGACTAGAGGTTGATATGGAGGCAGACTGCTAGCTGGAACAGTGCCAGTTCACCTTCGGTGCACTACCGAGGTGCCCTTGAGTGAAAAAATTAATTCAGTAATAAATTAAATAAAGTAATAAAAACGGTACACTGAAGGGACAAAGGAGTACAGAGAAGAACTTTGAATAAACTGATGGACAAATGTGGAAAATGTATGAACCAAAAATGAAGTATTAATATTGCTATTTCTCCTATAACCCTGTTCAACGTCCACCAGCATAATAATCCACTGCTACTATTGTAATAATTTTAACTTTATTTATATGGCATCTTTCAAAAACAAATTTAGAAAGTGCACAAGCACAAATAAAACACTGAATAAACTCACAAGAGCAAGTAAAACATAAGTCAATATATATAAAAACAAAATAAAAATAAATTTAAGGAAAGTGTTAAACTAAATCAAAGCCAATTCCATGTTGCCAAGATGACAAGTGTCCTACTATCCTCATTACTGGTTATACTGGGAAGCCCTTGGGTATAAATTGGTAACTGTAGGACTGTTAAGGGTCCATTCCCATTCCTTGATAAGGTTAACCACATTGATGTGTAACTGATAGCATACCAGTACAGGTGGTTGACATACGGAGAGACGCCCAGAGAGTTCATCCAGTTTCGAAATGTTTTCTCTTCATTGGACTCAGCTGGAAAGACATAAATACATTTTAAATACCATCATGTTCTCTACCAGCTGTTCCTATACAGTTGCTGTCTCCTGTAAGAAATGTTTTTATGTTCAGCCATAATTTACATACAGTAAATATGTATTTATGGCTGCCATAACTTGCCTGAAACATTTATTGTCTTGTACTTTTTATTGGGCTATGTCCCCTCTGTGTCTAGCATCACCTGTACAGTACGTTCACATTCTGGTACACATTTTGGACTGAGTGGGTACATGTCAGCATTTTATGACTTTTGTTTTGGCTTGACAGAGAAGCAATGAGCAGCCTCAAGACCATGTGATGATTGATGCAGCTGAACCATGTTGGACAAAATATTTTTATTCAGTGAGCTGTGTCTGTGTCTCACCCTCTATCTGTGTAGTCTCTACGCCGTTGCTGTGAGCCCTCTGCAGAGCAGGATGCATGTTGAACAGGTTGGCCACAAAGGCCAAGTTGAGTTTACTGTTTCCAGACGTGACGTCATGAGGAGAAACAAACTGTCTACAGTCCAGCCGGGCCGCCTGTTGCAGCATCAGCTCAGCTCTTTGGTCCAAATCAGGTTCCTTCATATAAGCATAAAACAGACAAATGTATATGCACGGTACAGATACTACAGACATATTCATGCCAGAATCCAATAAGAAGGTCATTGTTTAATATTAATAACATCAAAACGAACAATTATCCTTAAATACTTTAACACCCAACCTATCACATTTAGGAGCTTCTGGTTCACAATTTTTACCTTCACCTCTGACAATTTCCATTATCAGTTTCTCACTGTGATTTAAAAACTTTATAAACTGACTCACATTGAGGCCGCTCATGTCAATTTTGACAATCATTTTGTAGTCGTGCTCTCCTTGAAGAGCAATCTGGTCCAACAGGTAGAAGTAGGCTCGCGAGTCCTACAGTGGTACAGTACAAGAAAGGGTTACACTCATGTGTTCTTGTAATTGTTTGTGTGAGTGTGTGTGTGTGTGTGTGTGTGTGTGTGTTCTGAAGGGGACCTTAATATCTTCACTAAAATTGCAAATGGTCTTTGTTCCTGCGTTTTTTAGATGATGGTTGACCCAGCGGAGCAGCAGCTCCTCAGGGGAGAGGGACATCAGATGGTCCAGATGCTCCCCTTCTGTCAGAAGGCCAATCAGACCTAGATACACACATTTAAAAGTATTAAAAGTATTTCTTTAATCTTTTTTAAACTCAGACATCTTCTTTGTTAAAAACAAACACACAGCAAGGTGCAGAACAGCATGCGCTTCAAAACGAGTTAATCACAAGTAAAACACATGGCACAAATCTTCTCCTGTACTCCATATGTTATTTGTCAAACATTTTCGGCCATCTTGCCTTTGTCAGGAAGGTGTGACCTGTTAAAATTTGGGGGGAAATTCTGACAGACCAAATGGTGAATGGCATTCTGTCTTCCTATTCTAAATTTGAGCATTCATACTGCATGTGTAGGAAGGAAAATCACTATCACTATCAGCTGTCACTATCACTGTCAGCTTCATAACGGGAGTGCCAAGGTAATGTCCCATTGACGCGCTAATAGCTCTTACTAGTATTTCTAGAGAGATCCACGGGCAGAAGTCTTTTGTCCGTTCCAGAGTCTCGACTGAAAACTAAAGGGGACAGAGGTTGGCAGTCAAGGCTCCGAGGCCCTAGAACAGCCTATCTGAGGAAATCAGGGATGCTGACTCAGTGAACTGCTTTTAGTCCATTCTTAAAACATACTTTTATAGAAGAGCCTTTCCTGATTTCAGTTGATTTTAATTATCTTTTTTTCTTTTAACTATACTTTAATTTCATAACCTTCTTTCTGCTTTTACCGTGTATCTTATTTAGTTTGCTGTGTTTTATTTTCTTTGCTCTTGTGAAAGTACTTTTTAACATTGTTTTGAGATGTGCTCTACACATAAAGATTATTATTATTATTTATTGCTGCTCTTACTAGTATCTATTGTCACTTATAGATCTCTTACTTTACTGATACTTGCATGTTATTCCTCAAATGAATGTCGCTTTAGATAAAAGCATCTGCCAAATGAGTAAATGTAAATGTAATGTGAAGACTGAGCAAAAAGGGCTTCGATTGTATGAAAAGTAGAAAAACACAAAACATCAGTGGTGTGAACAAAAGACACTGGTTCCTATCTAAAGTGGTTCCTATCCAAAATACTAATTATCATGTTTGCTCACATTTTGTTCCACTTGATAAGGTAAAAATGTTTAAATCTGAACCTTTTTTTGCTGAATTGTACAGCATAAAATAAAACAGTGAGACAAGTTTAATTCTTACAACACAGCGATATCTCATTATCAAACACACCCTTTCACGCCTACAGTAGACCCTGACATGACCCTTTCTATCCCTGCAGTCATTCCACACATATCTATCTAACACACTATCTCCTAAGGGGTTGAGGGTTAGATTGTCTTTTTTCACCACGGGAAGAAAGGGGATGAAATGACATGAAGCAACAGAATTTGAGCCTTTATTGCCTGATGACAGTGAAAACAAAAACAAAAAAACATTGCATCATTACTTTTATTACTACTGTACCACTATTTCATGCTGGAACACTTACAGAAAGTGGTAATTTAATCTCGCTTCTGTTGAGCTCCAAAGTTCACTCTTGACTTTGGAAACAGCAGTTAACAAAAGGATTTCTACTCAAAGTTCATTTACACTAGAAGTCCTAAAAGTGCTCGGATTAATGAAAATTTCCTGAGATCTGATGAAGTGATACGATTAAAAGCTCTCTAACAACCGAGTAAGTGGAGCTTGAATAGAGATTTTTGTCACTGACTCTTGTGTTGTTTCAGCCTTAACCTCAAACTCATGACATTAATATTTAGAACTAGGTTAATGGTGTATCTGGAAAGTTAATGTGTGTGTGTGTGTGCGCGCGCGCACTCTGACCTTCGTTCCTGCTGATTTCTATGTCAGCAAAGAGGCCAACCTTGATAATCTGCCAGAGCAGTCCGAGGACCAGATGGGGTTTCCCAGCCATCAGATCATGGGCATCAATGCTCACCACCGTACAGCCGATTGCTGAGGCTGAGTTCAGAGCCAGGACCAGATTCTCCTACAAATGGAAATTAATTGGGTATCAACGTGTTAATATTTGCTCACAGTCAGGGATTTAATAGCCAAACAACAGCATGGTTAAAACTTATGTTGCTGTACTATCTCAGCAAAAACAAAAAATGACTCCTCTAAATAATAGATAACTTATTAGAAATCAAATGCAGCACTCTAATCTAGCTCCTTTTAGAAGATGAAAGCACATAACTCATATACAACCCCAGACTGTACACTAATGTGTTATTTTGTGAGGTTTAGAGCTACTGGTGAGCATATTTTATTACCTTTGGACAGACCTAGGCTAGCTGTTTCCCTCTGTTTCCAGTCTTTATGCTACACTAAGCTAACAGGCTGCTATGAGAGAGGTAGTTTTCAATCTTCTCATCTAAATCTTGGCAAGAAAACAGATGAGCATAACTATTACAAATTTGGTGCTTCTAGCCTTGCACATCTCATTACATGTAGCCTATTCCTGTAAGGATTACAATGCATGCGACTGTGACTGGCAGTTATGAATTTACTAAACTGGTGAAAAGCTACTACTCACTGTCATTTTGAAGGTGGAAAGTTTCTTGGTGTTGATAACTCTTTCGTCAATTGTGTCAGGCTGAGACAGGTTGATCATTTTGCTGAAAGAGAACAAGGAGTGTGAGCTTGTGGAAAACTGAGTGAGTGAGTGAGCAAAATGTCTAATACCATTTCAGTGTGTGTAACATCAGATTCCTTACTGCAACAGTCTCTGTAAGATGTACTCTGTTCACCATGCAGTGAAAAACTCACTGGGAGTGAAAGTGAACAAGGAGGAGGAGTGAACCACTATAAAAACTACAATAAAATAGAATGACAGTATTCCTGCCTTAACCTTTGTTGCCACAGAAAAGACAAAAATAATCTTTGCGCTCATTGACATTCCATGTGTCAGAATAATCATTTACATTTGCAGGTACTGTGGGTTTGATTCAACCCATTTATCAGTCAAAAACTCACATTTGAGGTGTTTTCTTTTGCAAAGAATTATTGTAATCAATAACATATACAGAGAAATGGTACTTAAGGTAACAATGTATGCTGTCAGAAATCAGACAAAACCTTCTTGTTAACTTGCTAGTCAGACTTATGAAACACACTGTATGGATGTGATTGCACTTACTTGCATGCCTGTGTGCATGAGTACAAGTGTGTTACCATAACAGGATGCCATCGCGGACAGAGGTGAAGAGGCTTTCATCGTCAGGGTTCATGGGCAGCAGGTGTTGGCAGTCTGGATCTTTCGCCAAGGCTTTGTTGATCCAGTGGACAAATGCTACCTTCTCCTCATCTAAACACACACACATCAGGATGTGTCATAGCTAAAACAATTAGTTGCTTGGTTGCATATAAAAAATTAAACAGCAACTGTTCTGATAATTGATTAATCACCATTTTAAAAGCAAAAATGCCAAACGGTCTTTGATTCCAGCTTCTCTACTGAAGGAATTTGCTGCTTTTCTTAGTTTTATATGATAGTAATTTGAAAATCCATGGCAAATGACACTATGAAGACATGACCATGGGCTCTAGCAAATTGTGATGGACATATGTCGATGTTTTTTGAAGTTTAATAGACAAAACAATTAATCAGTTAATTATAATTGTCAGATTAACTGATGATAAAAATAATAGTTAGTTATAGAAGATACTTTACTTTAACTTCCACAAACATAATAAATGGTACATTATTTGTCAGCAATTACAACTTCTCCTGTGAAGACACATTTTAGGTTATTACAACAACGTTTTACTACATTATTAGTTAATATACCAGCCTCCACTTATGGGTACCCACAGGAGGAGTAATAGGTTAACACTTACATCTGCTTACAGTTAGATTATAGTGTTATAAACCATTTATTAATGTGTACTGCTTACAGAAGCTAAATAGGGGGATTTAAAGTAAAGTGTTATGCAGCCTTAATGAACATGATATCATTAACCTTCTAATGTACATAATTAAATTGAACATTTATCCGATCATAAATTGGCACCATTTTGCGCCTCTCATGTGTTACCAATACATTCGATTCACAGAGCCAGCCCCTGATTTTTCTAAAAGTAAATACCGGGCAACCTTTGAAAAACCACACATGGCACTGTTCTAAAGGTTTTTCCCCATCTGGATGAAAAAGATTCCTTGCCTCTGCACAACAAAAAAGATTTTAAACCTGTTTCACAAGTTGCAGGTGCTGTGAATTTCTTATAGTCTGATGGGTCTTATGAGTACATGATCTAACATCTGCCACAGTATTTGTTTGGATCAAGAAAAAGAGGTGCAACTTGGGAAATGTGCAACAGACTGAATATTTTTCCCTCTAGATAGAGCCTTTTTAAGCTTTCTGGAAATACCGTCGTAACAGAAAAGAAGAGTGTTTTCTGGGTTTTTCAAGATTACTGGATGCTTAATTCTGTTACTTGAATGTAATGTTACTCATAAAGAGGCACACATGAGTGTCAGTCAGAGATACAGTAATTATGAAACTGACACACACACATAAACACACACAAACAATGCATACTCTCTCGCACCAGAGTAGGAGTGCTGCGTTCCCTCGCTGGAGATTCCTGACAATCCCCCGAAGGAGCGAATCCCATCTCTCCTTGTGATGGTTTTCCTAAACGTCTCACTGAACTCTTTGCTCTTCAGCTCTTGATAGATCTGAACATGGACAGACTGTGTTACTTGTTGTGTGGCTGGGTGAGTAAATTCACACATTTGCTCACAATCTGTATCAGAACTCACAGAAACAAACTCCTCAAAGCTGATCTTCTCGTCCTTGTTGGTGTCTCCAGCGATGAAGGCCTCCATGATCTCTCGCACCTTGTACCCCGGCAGGGAGAAACTCGCCTCTCTGAACAGCTCCTGGAGCTCAAAGTCGCTCACATAGCCACTGTTATCAATATCTAAACACAAATAGACACACAAAGGAATGCACACACAGATGTAATTAATTAATCTGCTTCACAGATATTAATCTGAAATGAATGAGCCCAATATTTAAAGTAAATATTGCACAGATGAAAAGCAAAGCAAAGACAAACAAGTCTGGTAGGTTAATTCATAAACAGATCTTTCCTAATAATTTTCTAATATTTTCTCAGGAAAGTAATTTGGTAATGATTATAGGGAGAATAAAGATTCATATTTTAGTTTTATTGTGTTGAGTTGAGTTTATTTAAACCCAAATTGTAAACTTTGTAAACTTCTTCTCATATGTTGAAACCATCTGCTTTACAAGTTTTTGCATTTTCAGCACTAACAAAGGTTCAGAAAAATAATGTGTTCTCGCATCTTTAACCATGTTATTGTAGTTAATTAATAAATCCTTCAGACTGAGGTAATGGACTTGGAGACTGGATTTTTTCCATCTGCGCTCTGCTTTCCTGCATTCCCTTTTTAGGCTGCGAATGCTGTCATTTATCCAGGGTTGCTTACTAGCTTTAGACGTAGGCCTAACCTTAGAGGAGCAGTAATATTTAGTGACGACAAGCAGATATGATTGAAGTGATCGACCAGATTGTTGGTGTTGGAATCAGACAGGTGTTGGCTTTGGCTCTGAAAGAATGTGCAAAACTTTGAAACACTTTGTTCATTAAAGAAGCGAGAACACACGGAGCTTGGTGAGGCGGCATGAGTAACAGGCGAATCGCAGCTAAAAACAATACATCTGTGGTCAGATATGGTCATGTCCACTAATTCCACCGAGGAAATGCTGACACCCACGGTAAAAACCAAGTCCAGTGTATGACCACGGTTATGTGTTTGCCCTTTGACATGTTGTTGAAGTTAAAAGAAGTGGCCATATTTAAAAAGTCAGTTGCATTAACACTGGTGGGGTCATCAACATGAATATTAAAATCACCACAAAGAACAATTCTGTCATAATTTAAAACCAGAGTAGATAAAAATTCAGGAAGTTCTGATAAAAATCCTCCAGACGGTTTTGGGGGGTGATAAATTATAACAAATATGACCCTCCAAGTTTAAGAGTGACTTCACTTCAAAGGAGTTAAATTCATCACAGCGTACTTGATGACATTTAAAATTTTTCCTATACAGGCTCACTAGCCCACCACCACGACCACTGACCCTCGGTTGACTAAAACAATCATACTGAGGCGGACACAGTTCAGCTAGCTGCCTATAGTCATTCATTTGCAATCTAGCAATCTAGATTTGCAGACAAGATAAAATCATTTAAGATAAATGTCTTACTTGACAGAGATCTCACATTGAAGAGATCCATTTTAAATGAGTTTGTTTTGGGTGCTGGAGTTGGTGCAGTTGTCCTAATCCTTAAGAGATTACTATGTGTGGGATGTGCACATTTTGGTTTACTGGTCTATGCGTGATGATGACAGGAATATGAGTCTTTGGAACAGCGCTGGGAGCAGACGGCTTTACATGCCAGCAGGTGGAGACATTTGTTTGTGGCAGTGAGGCAGAGTTATGTTCAGTGACCGGTGGTGTGTCCAGGTGTGCTGCATGAATGATTAGTCATTCCTGTAAGTCATGTGTGGACCGCACCACATGCTGTATGTGAGCAGCTAACATTTCTGAGCCCTGTTTGTTTGGGTGAAGTCCGTCTGTCTTAAAAAGAGACATTCTTTGCCACAAAATATTAAAGTTACCGATGTGGTCGCTGCCACTAGAGGCGCTAAAGATAGTGCTATAACCACACAAACTGCAATATATAGTGCTACAATAAGAGTAGGCATAATCGATAACATAGTATATTTAACAAAGAATTAAAGATAAAGATGTATTACATAGTAGATACAACCAACTGCAACCAGTGGTCAGTGGCAGCGACCACTATCTTCAGCGCCCCTAGTGGCAGCGACCACACCAACTGGTGTGGCAGCGACCACCGTCTTTAGCGCCCCTAGTGGCAGCAACCAGTGTGGCAGCGACCACCGTCTTTAGCGCCACTATTGGCAGCGACCACAACGACCAGTGTGGCAGCGACCACCATCTTTAGCGCCACTATTGGCAGCGACCACACCGACCAGTGTGGCAGCGACCACCGTCTTTAGCGCCACTATTGGCAGCGACCACACCGACCAGTGTGGCAGCGACCACCGTCTTTAGCGCCACTATTGGCAGCGACCACACCGACCAGTGTGGCAGCGACCACCGTCTTTAGCGCCCCTAGTGGCAGCGACCACACCGACCAGTGTGGCAGCGACCACCGTCTTTAGCGCCACTATTGGCAGCGACCACACCGACCAGTGTGGCAGCGACCACCGTCTTTAGCGCCACTATTGGCAGCGACCACACCGACCAGTGTGGCAGCGACCACCGTCTTTAGCGCCCCTAGTGGCAGCGACCACAACAACCAGTGTGGCAGCAGTGGTCTGTGTGGCAGCAACCCAAGACTGTGGAGCCTCGTCTCATGCCCTCTCTCGCCAAATTAAAAGATTAAGTCTGGTTCGCGATGTCTTCTTCATACTTTGGTGTTTTTGAATTGAATAACGGCAACCATGCGAATAAAATACTATCTATTCATTTCCAGGCCATTTTATCAAGTTAGTTAGCTATTTAACTTTGGAAAGTATTGTTTAAGGTTTCAAAACTTAAAACCTCCAGACCTCAATTTTTTATGTTGCATAGGGTATCTTTCCCTAAATAATGAATTTTGTTCCTCCAAGTGAAATTAAACAAGATCTAATTCTTTGTATATTTCAGTAGGCATTTGGTCAGTGATTAGATAGTAGAACTCTACTATTCAGTGAAAGATGCCTCATCCACCACATGTTGAACCTTTTTCATTATTTGTTTAATCATATGGCTGAAGTTTAGGTTATTGCGTATTGAGTTTTTCATTCTTATCACACCCAGGTATGTAACTGGGTTCTTCACAGGGATACCATAAACTTCTGATAGAAATCACATTCCTTAAGTGGTAGCCTAATAAACAGATTTGTTCAAGTTCATTCTTAAGCCTGATACATTAGAAAATTTCTCAACTTTCTCAACTTTTCTCAGCTTTCATCCATTCCTCTCTATTAGACAAAAAAAACTATCATCTGCCAGATGAGATAATTTAAATAATCTAAGGTCACTTTAGGTATACTTTGGAACCATAGACTGTATAAAAACTTGAAACTGACCTCTTTTAATACAGCCACAGTTTGTGTGACAAGGAACAGAAAGGAGCCTTCCCTTAGAGACTGTGGTAGCGACCAGTGGTCCGTATGGCAGCCTGGCAGCCAGGCAGCAACCAGTGGTCTGTGTGGCAGCGACCACTATCTTTAGCGCCCCTAGTGGTAGTGACCAGTGGTCTGTGTGGCAGAGACCAGTGGTCTGTGTGGCAGAGACCAGTGGTCTGTGTGGCAGCGACCACTATCTTTAGCGCCCCTAGTGGCAGCAACCAGTGGTCTGTGTGGCAGGGACCAGTGGTCTGTGTGGCAGAGACCAGTGGTCTGTGTGGAAGTGACCAGTGGTCTGTGTGGCAGAGACCAGTATCTTTAGCGCCCCTTGTGGTAGTGACCAGTGGTCTGTGTGGCAGCGATCAGACCACATAATTGGCTACAACCCCTGCTGGAACAGTGGGAATGGGACCAGAGATAAAAATGCACTTTCCACACTGCTTTAAAAAGTTAAAATCTGATTTTGTCAGCTCAGACTGCTGAAGAGCTGTGTCATTTGTTCCCACATGGACTATCACTCTTGTGATGGAGGACGGGAGCGATGGCATTAGGTCCTGGAGTTTTTTTTAAATGTCAGCTGTGGTGGCACCGGGGAAGCAGTGAGTGGTAGCGTTAAAGAAACGGATGTTTCTGGTTATGGAGTCACCAATTATTAGTGTGGTTGGGGAGAAAAGAGGACGAGGAGATGCCGGTTGTGGGGTTCCAGAGCAGGACTGAGCAGAATCTGCTTCAACACTGCGTGCGGACTGAGGATGGAGTGTGTGAGCTGCCGCGTGCTGTGTTGGGAGTAGCAGTAACAGACCTGAGAGAAGGGCTACCCGACGGTGCAGGGTAGATACGGCCTCCGGAGCGTCTGAGCACAGCCTCCTTCAGGATCCTACGTCGGGAAGTGGAGGTTTTTGACCGGGATGACGGCAGCCGATCAGGCCCAGCGGCTGACCGGCAGCCCAGCTGATCACTGTTTGCCGCCAGTCCGGGAGATGTAGCCGGTGGAGGAGATGCAACAGTGTTGGCAGGCACTGTCCGTCGAAAGAGATCTGTATCAGGGAGACTCGAAGTCGCAGGTGCATCCGCTGGATGGACCGGAGTGTCTTCAGACAGGGCTGCATAGCGGTTGGAGAGGCCGATGTGCGGAGGAGAGGCAGCCCCGTCCGAGCCTCTCTTGCGGCCATGGACCACCACTTCAGCCCAGGTTGACTGATGCTTCGGAGTCGAGCAAGAGGAAAGCCTTGGAAGGGTAGAGGGGTCCCATAGCACAGTGTCCTGGATGTTAGCGGTTGTGCTAAGAGAAACAATCTGTTTGGCTTGTACTGAAGCCACATCCATAAAGCCAGTCAGCAGGGAATTTTTCTCTTTGAGTTCCTCTGAAAGTCGTCGGATGTCTTCCATAAGGTCAGCAATCTTTTTGTTCGCTTTCTTAAGGAGTGTGCAGTCTTCACGGGGCAGAGTTATCTCGGCTAGCATCACCGGAGCTTTATTGTGGTCAGTAGCATTGATGGTGTTTTTTACGGTCATCTAGCTTAAAATCCATGTCGGACGACTAAAATCCTTAACGCATGTAAAACTTAAGTTAAAAACGTAGGTTAAATAAAAAGTGTATAAAAAATGTAACGAAAAAGTGTGGATTAAAACTGGATAAGAGTCCGGTTTAAGACGGAGCTTCCGACAGGTGGCTACAGACGCCAACGCATGCGCAGAGTACAGATTACATCAGCAATTACGTCAGCGATCTTGTGACTTAAAAATAAAGTATTGTCTACTTGTGATCCCTCATCATATGTCGTTGCCTTAGTATGAACATGAGTTATCAACAAAAGAGTGACTTTGCCTTCAGTGGCTTTCATTTACAAGCCTGAAGAGGTCAAGGTTTCAAGTATTTCACAAGGCAAAAAATAAATAAAAATTTGTATGGACATTCATGGTCCCCAGAGGATGAATTCTAATGACTTTGTTGATCCTCAGACCTGTCAGATTTAGCTTCGGACACCCAGGTTGGGAAGCACTACTCTTGGTTATGCTAGCAATTAATTGGAATTAATTTAATTGTGCCAATTAAACACAGGACATTCAACCAACTTGAACCAGTAATATAAAGTTTTACACATGGTTTTAAACTGGACAAAATCTCTGTCTCACTCACTTAACCTGTTTATGTTTGTACTTTGTTTTTGTATATCATACCGCAACAGGACTGCCTTATTTATATTGCTCTATATTATCAGCAATTTTTTGTAATTTACATTTAGTATGATTAACGTCTCATTATTGCATTTCAAAATGCTTCACACACAAAGTACACATTCACTTAACAACTCAAGCAATAAAATTTCTTGCACAAGAGTACTTTATGGTCGGTTGTAAAACTCTTACTATGGTCAGAATTCCCTTTCGATACAATTGTGGGGTCAGGTTAGGCGTGTGTACATGTAAAACTGACCAATTCTATTAAAAGCCTCTCTGAGCTCTTCCAGGTCCTCTCTGGAAATCTGTGTGACATGGTTCTCCATAGTAACTTCAGCTTTGTGTACCTGAAACACACACACACACACACACACACAGAAAAGCACAGTTTCTAATCATACTGGTCTCACAATAGAAGCTGATTTTGCATGATTGAGCAATATGTTGAATTATCAATCTAATGATGTTATATCTAATATATGATAAAAATACAGGGGAGATGTTACTGCATTGATGACAACTGGATACTAAGCACATGTTACAGCTATAACTTCTGTACTTTTATTATTATAACTAGGATTTTGAATGCAGTACTTTTACCACCACTGCAAGGGAGTGGGTGAACACATCCATTTACTGCAGAGACTTAAAGTTGTTCAACCTCAGAAACATACACTACCGTTCAAAAGTTTGGGGTCACATTGAAATGTCCTTATTTTTGAAGGAAAAGCACTGTACTTTTCAATGAAGATAACTTTAAACTAGTCTTAACTTTGAAGAAATACACTCTATACATTGCTAATGTGGTAAATGACTATTCTAGCTGCAAATGTCTGGTTTTTGGTGCAATATCTATATAGGTGTATAGAGGCCCATTTCCAGCAACTATCACTCCAGTGTTCTAATGGTACAATGTGTTTGCTCATTGGCTCAGAAGGCTAATTGATGATTAGAAAACCCTTGTGCAATCATGTTCACACATCTGAAAACAGTTTAGGTCGTTCCAGAAGCTACAAAACTGATCTTCCTTTGAGCAGATTGAGTTTCTGGAGCATCACATTTGTGGGGTCAATTAAACGCTCAAAATGGCCAGAAAAACAGAACTTTCATCTGAAACTCGACAGTCTATTCTTGTTCTTAGAAATGAAGGCTATTCCATGCCAGACATTGCTAAGAAATTGAAGATTTCCTACAACGGTGTGTACTACTCCCTTCAGAGGACAGCACAAACAGGCTCTAACCAGAGTAGAAAAGAAGTGGGAGGCCGCGTTGCACAACTGAGCAAGAAGATAAGTACATTAGAGTCTCTAGTTTGAGAAACAGACGCCTCACAGGTCCCCAACTGGCATCTTCATTAAATAGTACCCGCAAAACACCAGTGTCAACATCTACAGTGAAGAGGCGGCTGCGGGATTCTGGGCTTCAGGGCAGAGTGGCAAAGAAAAAGCCATATCTGAGACTGGCCAATAAAAGAAAAAGATTAAGATGGGCAAAAGAACACAGACATTGGACAGAGGAAGACTGGAAAAAAGTGTTGTGGACGGATGAATCCAAGTTTGAGGTGTTTGGATCACAAAGAAGAACGTTTGTGAGACGCAGAACAAATGAAAAGATGCTGGAAGAATGCCTGACGCCATCTGTTAAGCATGGTGGAGGTAATATGATGGTCTGGGGTTGCTTTGGTGCTGGTAAGGTGGGAGATTTGTACAGGGTAAAAGGGATTCTGAATAAGGAAGGCTATCACTCCATTTTGCAACGCCATGCCATACCCAGTGGACGGCGCTTGATTGGAGCCAATTTCATCCTACAACAGGACAATGACCCTAAACACACCTCCAAATTGTGCAAGAACTATTTAGAGCAGAAGCAGGCAGCTGGTATTCTATCGGTAATGGAGTGGCCAGCGCAGTCACCAGATCTGAACCCATTGAGCTGTTGTGGGAGCAGCTTGACCGTATGGTACGCAAGAAGTGCCCATCCAACCAATCCAACTTGTGGGAGCTGCTTCTGGAAGCGTGGGGTGCAATTTCTCCAGATTACCTCAACAAATTAACAGCTAGAATGCCAAAGGTCTGCAATGCTGTAATTGCTGCAAATGGAGGATTCTTTGACGAAAGCAAAGTTTGATGTAAAAAAGATCTTATTTCAAATACAAATCATTATTTCTAACCTTGTCAATGTCTTGACTCCATTTTCTATTCATTTCACAACGTATGGTGGTGAATAAGTGTGACTTTTCAGGAAAACACAAAATTGTTTGGGTGACCCCAAACTTTTGAACGGTAGTGTAGCTAACTGAGTCTGACGAGACTGATGGGATAAAAGCAGAAGAACAATTAAAGTGTCAGGTTACTTAATTACAACTTGCTCCCTGAGGTGGATGTGCAGCGAGTTCCTCAAAAGGTTCCCAGTTCCTGAGTAAAGTCCTGTGCTGGAAGCGTGGCTCTATATACTGGTCCAGTGTAGCCTTATGACTTGTCACTGTCAGCAAAGCACTATCATTACTTACACACCTCAGGTTCCTCATAAAACCCTGAAGGTCTGAAGCATTTTACAGTAAAGTATCCCTTTGGTTCTTTGCTTGAGGAGACAACAAAGAAAAGACAACATGCAATAATGACAGAGACGAGTACCTCCATATGAGTCTGTGTTCTCTTTCAGCCCTGTCTTGAGTGACACAGTAAGCCTTTTGGTGCAGATCCCTCTGGACTGGCCACAGGAGTCGAGTCTTCCGGAGCTCTGTGATGCTTCAAACCAGGGCAGAGCAGAAGTTGGATCCCGGAGTGGCTGGAGAGCTGGTTATCTCTCCTAGGAGGAGTCACTCAGGAGAGGCACAGAGTGGACCTTTGGCCTTCCTGGACCCTGGGACAGGCGTAGTCTGACAGTTAACATTTAACACCTCAGCTGTGTCATCATGTTATTGTCCATAGAAGGCAACTGAGTTGCACTCATACATATTACCTACAGTACAGTACTGTACAGTGGCATAAAGTTAAACACTAAAATGGTTGCACAGGGCACACTGTGGGGACAAAAGTTAGGAAGGGAAGTTAATAAAAGTCAAGGAACTAATTTAATCATAAGATTCAATTTCAATTCAATTCAATTTTATTTATATAGCGCCAAATCACAACAACAGTTATCTCACAGCGCTTTTCATAAAAGAGCAGGTCTAGACCGTACTCTATGATGCTATTTACAGAAGCCCAACAGTTCCCACCAAGAGCAAGCACTAGGCGACAGAGGCAAGGAAAAACTTCCTTACAATGGTGATTAAATATGTATTGCAAATTCACACTTTGCCATATCCACATTTTGGCAGCAGGTGCTGCTAGTTCAACCTACCAGGCAGATATTTCTCTTAATGTGAACAAATTTGCTGTTTTATGAGGACTGATCTTGGCTTAAAGCCATACATATTGCCCAACACCTTACCTTATCAATTTAAAGAAATATTTGCTTTCTTTCCAAGTTAGATGAGAAGATTGATACCACTCTCATGTCTGTGCCTGAAGTTACAACCAGGAGATGGTTCAATTAGCTTAGCATAATGACTAGACCTGGCTCCATCCATGGTGCAATGACTTCCTGGAGTCTCTCACATAGCCTCCTGTAAAACTACCACTTGTTGTTTTTATACTTTGCTTACTTTGCTTTGACTAATGAGATTTACATCTGACTTCTGCTTTACAACGGTAAGAGGTGCACTTTATCAACAATGAATGACCTTTAAAGTTTAACACACTATATTGAACTATATTACAGCAAAAAAATCCACAACTGGTTATACCTAACTTTATGAGAGCAAACTTTATTCACAATTATTTAACAATTATTCTCATATAGAATTATTCAGTAACGGTAAAATGGACAGTATGTTAAAATAATTAGGATCTTACAATACCCTTTTTAATGGACATATATGAGAGAGGTTAAAATCTTCTACTTACTGACTGTACACAGTAGTAAGTGCTGCCTGTGGGGCTCAGCTCAGGGCAGATATTTCATCAGGGGAATTTCAGTGAATTAAATGAATGAACAATATTTGCTAAACCTACACTGCTGCATTTTGTAGAAAAACTGCACTTGGGATGAAGAAGTGATTGTAGTGAAGTCTTTTGTCACATGTTTTTTAACAGACCACGCTCATATTGTGCATTTCTGTCAAACATCCCTAAAACATGAGGCCTGTCTTTGCATGCACAGCTTGCCTCCCTGCCACACAATGCCCTGTAATCTGAGGCACAGAGGCAACTGCATCACAGCTGCACTCTTCGTAGCAACACTGCCACTTTACTGCTGCTTCACTCTTTATTCCAACACACAGCAATGCTTTACAGTAGCAGATTATGCCTTTTTGTTTTCCTGTCTGTTTGCCCTTTTTTCTTCCTAAATCAGTGGCATTTGACCTGTATGTTTAGCCTAAGACAACTCCAGGCAACATATTTCTGTAGCTATAGTTTATTGAAGTCTGCTTTGCGTAGCAAAGTTCACCTGTGTTTCAGAATAGTCAAACTGTAATGTAAGGAAAGTACAGAAGTAAGGAGCTTACATTCAGTTCCAGGCAGCCTGAAGGGCTCAGAGTCCGGAGCAGGGTCAGTCCAAAGTAGAAAATCAGCTTGCTGCAGACTAGTTTTGGGCCTCTTTCTTCATTATACTCCTTTTCAGACCCTTCTTTTCCCTTCTCGCCTTTCTATTTACCCTTTCCCCTCTGTCTTCACCTCCTTCTTTTCCTTTCCTCTGTTTTTACCTGTCAGTCTCTCCTTTCACCTCTACCACTGCTCAAAAAGTCACACGCAGTCCCATAATCAGCCAACACCAGGACACAAGACTGTGCAAAATGTGTTTCTCTTGGCTCAGACAAACTTAGTAAATTCATTTTTGAAACCTGTTCACTACAAAGTCATACAGAAACTAAATGCTGCCTCTGAATCCACACAGCTCCAGGACTCTGTTCTATTTCCCCTTCTGGTCTCTTCCTCAGACACTTGATCAGCCCAGTTTCACTCTGTGACTCTGAGGTGCTCTCCGGTTACCCTCTCCTCCTAATCGCCGGTCTAAGGTAAGCGCTCCACCTCTAGCCATAAATGTACCAGCCATGGTTCTGGTTGTGAACCCTGAGACAGGATCAGTTGTTGGTGTTAAAGTGTATAAGCCTCCTGCCTTATTCACTGGCAACTTAGAGCACATGCGCATGAAGGCGGACAGAGTTAAAACCACATAAACATACAGCACACACACAAATATACTTTAAAAGCCCAAATGTTCTGAATTTATAAACAGACTTTTAATGATGTATGGCAGATGGTTATTATTGAGCTTAGAAATATTGTGATACAAAAAACATTACTAGACAAATATGTCTGTGACTACTGCTACTAAAATATACTGATATCAGCATTATTATTGGAGTTAAAGGCCTTTATTTTAAAAGGATCATCATTCTCATGTTGCACAGGTTGGTTTTCAGTTTAGCCTTAACAATTTCTAATAACAAAAAAAGAAAAAAAGAAAGGAAACCCAGATGTTCACGAGGAAGATGTCTTAAAGAAACAAGACCGACACTTTAAAGAGTTCTCCCCTTCTGCACACCCCTTCTGAATCCATGTTACTCTTTGATTCAAATTCACATTTAATTTTTTGATCCAAAAGAGGTAATGTATTTGGTCAGAGTTGCATATAGGGGTGGATACAGTACAAAACAGTATCAGAACAAAAATATGAACAGTAAAAGAGTAAAGACATTTTATAAAAAGAACAGTAATAGACAAAGATAGGCACAGCACCAAGACACCATTTACAAACAGTGTTACAGTGTCAGTAGCAGTTTGGATGTTAAACACCATGACAGCAGCAGGAACAAAGTATTGTTTTGATTTAAGATAACTTCTCCCTACAACTCAGAAAGGAAAAACTTTCTAAGAAAACAGAAGAAGTTTGTACTAAAAAGACTGTACTAACATCCCTGTGTTTTTTAAACCCAAGAACACACTAAGACAGATGCTGGTACACCCCAAAGACCGCACACCCAAACACAAGAAAAGCAATCTAGTGTATTTGGTCCAATGCAGTGAGGAATGCACAGACCTGTATATTGGGGAGACTAAACAACCACTACACAAACGCATGGCTCAACACAGAAGGGCCAACTCCTCAGGTCAAGACTCTGCAGTCTACTTACATCTGAAGGACAGAGGACACTCGTTTGAGGACCACCAGGTGCACATTTTAGACAGAGAAGATGGATGGTTTGAAAGAGGTGTCAAGGAAGCCATCTGCACCAGGGTCGAGAAGCCGTCATTGAACAGGGGAGGGGGTCTACGCCACCACTTATCCCCCACTTACAATGCTGTCCTTTCATCACTTCCCAGGAAACTCAACAAACGTAACCTATTGGCCTCAAGTGAAGATACCAACGATGGTCGTTCAGTCTTGGCCACAGGTAGTCTTAACGACTGTAACGACTGTCGTCACAGCAACAAGGAACACTAACGAACCAGCGGTATCGATGACCCGGGCCAACGACCCCACTGAGGTTAAATAGCTGAGTTTCCCTGCCAGTCAGTCAGAACTGAAGAAGTCCTTTGGATGAGGGACGAAACGTCTTCCAGTATCTTCAACCAAGTCCAGTTGCCCTTGATTTTAATCTTCGTTGGATAACTATGACCTGGATGACTGAGAATCTTCATAGACATACTAAAAAGACTGTAACTTTGGAAGTTACCCACTTTAATTCTGTCCCCATTTCTAACAGTGCAGCTACCCTCCAATGGGATCTCTTCACAGCTTGTATGGAGAGGTGGGTGACTGCAAGTACGTGAGTATTGCATTCAGACAGACTTGAAAAAACCTAGACCTATCCATTAAGTTAAAAGACCATACTTTTTTTGCATCACACACTCTTTCGTCTTTACTTATTTGTAATGTAGTAACAGCTGGGAGTGATCCCTACACCCACCTGTATGTCCATGTTTGGTTGAGCCTTTGATGCTTTAATCAGCTGTAATGTGAAATCATGACCACTCAGAGGCAGTGCTGACTCAAGCTGATGGAGTACAGAGGAGCTTTTTGTCTGGGTAGTGAAGGTTGTCCTACTGCTGTGTTTGTGCACCACAACACGTGTAGCAAACAGGATATATTGCTATTATGTATTAACTGTCATTTCTGATAACTTGACCTTAAGTCAGTAATAGACATAATTAGTTTCTCATTCTTACAAGTTATTCTTCTGGTGCAAATGTAGTAATAGTACAACAACAAACAAACCATAAATAATAGGCTATTTTTGCTTTTGGCAGGCTAGTTTAGTATATTGTGATCCAAATAGTTTTAGGTGTACTACATTTAGTTGTAATAGAGTATTTCTACACTGTGGTATTGCTACTGTACTTCTTTCACTAGTTTTCTACAGGCCAATAAGTGTTGTTTATTTTTTGTGATTAATTTTCCCACCCCAAATGGAAGTAGAAAGAGAAAACGCAGGGGGGCGTGTCAACTGTCACTGGTCACATGACCCGGAAAATGTGGGGCTTAATTCCTGTGTTGAACTGCTCTCAGCTGCTGAAGCTTTACCCTTGGCAGTGCACACCCTCCATCTGCCCCATCACGACCCAGGCACCCCCGGCGGACTCTCCTCATCGTACCATGTCAGGTAAGACACACCGGGGCTCCGCCGACACTACACGTACTGACACCGGAACACGGCCGCTCCGGACCGGACCAGGGCAGCGCGAACTGCCCTCTTCTCCCTTAATATCGCGATTTGATTACACGCTGCAGAAAACACCAGCTGCGACAATCACTGCTGTTCGCATAGGGGCAGAGCTGAGGTAATGAGTTTAAATCGTTAGTGCATTTATTGCTGTGTCCATTTTTAAAAGTTGATGTGTTCGATTTGATAAGCTGCTGTAGCGGTTTGGACCATAGTAAAGCTGTCGGTACACAAAAAGAGAACATCCGGTTAATTTAGATGACTGCAAATTTAAACTTGCATAAATTTTATATCTGGGTTTTTGATTAACAATTAACACTAAAAAACTATGCTAGTATAGTTGTGGCATCATGGCTGCAACACAGTGTTACAATTGCCCCCAAGCCACGTGGCCCAATGTAAACAGCTTGTTTGTCTGTTTTGACATACTTTTGTTAGAAAATGAACACATTTCACTAAATATAATATGGTATATTTAAAAGAAACTGATTTGTTCTAGTATACACAAATCATCAATTAACACAGGACATGTAAAAGTAAAGTTCCTTTCATTGTCAGTTCGTCTGTATAGTGGAGTAGTTGATTGTATAAGACCCAGCAAAACCAAAGAGAATGAGAAGGTCACTTGTAAAAAGCAGTTTTATAAAGTTAGAACAGAGAACTTAGCAGAGGAAGCCTGACATCTAAAATAATTTGAACCGTATGGGGGGAAAAAAACAAACAAACAAACAAACAAAAAAACCCCTCTTAACATTATTAGCAGTAAAGTAATTACTTGGAGGAAAATAGACGTTTAAAGGAAAATATTACAATTGCCCCTGGTCTCCCTCTTCCGATATATCTCACAAGACAAAAGGTTCATGTGAGTCTAGGTCTAATGTTGAGCTCTGAGTGTGACAAAATGAGTAAGTGGAAATTACTTACAACTACCAACATGATTTCTCCATGTAAATAGCTTAGCTTTAGCACAAAGACTGCAAACCATGCTAGCTGTACCTTCATATATACAGTACAGACATGAGTGGTAGCCTATTGATTATCTCATCCAACTCTTGGCAAGAAAAATGTCAAACTATTCCTTTAAAGTGACAGATGTTTTATTAGGTTAGACTGTTGGTTGGTTACATGTAATTTAAAGACTTCACCTTGGGCTTTAAGAAAATGGGCAATTTTCACTTCTTGACCTATTTCTTGACTAAATTGTTAATTGAGAAAAATACATGCACAATGCACAGACACTAGGAGAAATGGCAAGATTGAGGAGCTCCCTAAAGGGTTAATTAGGCCAGGATTTGAAGGCACTCCAAATATCCAAAACTTTCCCCAGTTATTTGATCAAACTTTATTTCATAGCTCATGTGTGCTTTTATTTTTGAAAGAAGATGCTATTAACTTCCTGTGTTAATGTGGGCTCTTTGGTTAACTTGACAGGATGTTTTAGTGCGTACGTGCGCCACGGTGTGTGGCCTCCGAAGTTTCCTTTTTCTAATACGATAAAGGGCACGTAGTAGTGTCACACCTTTTTATAGTATATTACTATTTATGTGATCTCTAGAAAAAAACATCCTATAATAAAGGATTGATAACAGTAATCATATGCATAAAAAGAGTACAGTTTTTGAAAGCATCATATTAACATGAAATTACATAGGCTACAGAAACAAAGCTTAAGTGTTCTTAAGACACTTTACACGCAAGCTCTATGCATTATATTTGCATACAGCTAGACATATATAATGTAGATTATTCAAGAATTTACCACATTATAAAAAGTACACACACTCCAGACCATTTTTGCCACTGGCTAACATTTTATTAATATTCACACATCACATCAGTCTTTAGACCTAGAAGTGTAATTGGTCATGTTGTTATATTTAGCCACAGATAACTCTCTGGGAACACAACAAATGCTTCCTGTATAGCCCTGTAGGCAAGACAGGCCTTACACTGTTTCGATGGTCACTTTAAAGTTCCTTGAAACACACACTAGCAACCGTACAATGCTGCTTCTCTGATCAGGTTTCCTAGAAACCTCTTGCAACACACACATTCAGCTTGATGAATACTATCTGCTGGCTTTGGGCCTACTGTCACTCAAGCAGCGACGCGGTGTGCCCCTCTTTTGCTGTTAATATATGCATGGTGGGGGGGCACATCCGACACTGATCTTCACACAATAGGCCTGCAGATAAACTGGACATACTGGTACTGTTGGAGTGGGTTAGATGTGACGGGACAGTGGATTTGGTTCATGGTTGTTACGGAGGAAATGTGGAAAAAGGTGCATTGATATTGGTAGCAAGTTTATTGTGGAAAGTAAACAAAATGTTGCCTTCTTACCATTTCTGACTAAGTTCACTTGCTTTAATAGCAAGTTTAAATATAAACACTCTAAAAAAACAAAAACAGCTGCAACAGTCACATGCAAGTAGCATTGACAGCAAATACTGAGGTAATGAAAACAGAAAATTGTACATTTACATAACCGGTGTCAGTTTGTTTATCTTAATCAACAGCATGATAAATAGGTAATCAATTACTGTAACACTATAGCACAGAAAATAACATGAGTGTGCTGGAGGGTTGGGGAAACACCAGGAGTTCTCATAAAGTTTTCATTAACCTGTTCAACCCCTGCTGGCGTTCTGCCCAGTTTATGTGATTCCTGCACATGAACTGACTGGTGTACCTCCATGTCAGTCAACATATCAATAGCCCTGTTCCTTGTGAGCAAAATGAGTTATCATGCTGGGTTGTAACCCATCCTTGCCTGTTGTTATGGCGATCTGAGCAACATGTGAGCATTTCAGCTTGGCTGTGTCCCACTGTCCTTAATGGGGGAAGAGGCTGGAAAGAGTTCACTGTGTAATTTATTGATTATGATGCTTTTATAAACTATCCACAGTCTAGGTGTTGTCTTTGACCTCTATGAAACGTCCGTGACACGGGATGACTGGAGTGAAACCTGAGCATATGTGTGTTGTTGCACTTTTTATTTATCTGCTGTGAGGCTGTCGTGAGGCCATAGTTGCTGTCAGTTTTACCAAAAAAGTCCCAGAATTCACTGATTAGGCTACCTGGGTTACGCTTCTGAAATGAACTGTGGTATGTGACACCTTCAGAATTCTTAATTTTACAATGGAACTTTTCTTTAAGAACCTAAATTCTGCACAGAAATAATGCATCATGAGTGATGTTAACATCTATTCACATCAAATAATTCTTCATTTTCAAACAGACTTGGTCTGATAAATATTACGTACAATCCATACAGGTTTAAGCTTCTAAGACAAAATAATGACACCAATATGAGAGTGTGTGTGTGTGTGTGTGTGTGTGTGTGTGTTGTGACCCTTTACTTAAGTAAATATAATGTTTGTACTGTCCAGACCTCAAAAGAAAATGAAAGGGGGGGGGGGGGAATAAAAAATTTAAAGGAAAAGCTGCTGTACTTCTGTACAGTTTAGTTTTATAACATTATATTGATAAGCGCTATGTATATTTTTATGTAAAAATCTAAGTTAAGTAAAGTACAAGTTTTTTTTAAATTTCTACTCATGTACAGTACTTGAGTGAATGTTACATTCCACTGCTTGTTTTTGTGTTTCTCCAAGCAGACCAAGCTTTTGTGACACTGGCCACAACTGACAGCTACGCCAAGGGTGCGATGGTTCTCGGCCAGTCGTTACGAAATCACAACACAACCAGGAAACTGGTCGCACTCGTAGGACCTCATGTTGCAGAACCTTGCAGGTAACACACATCACCCTCAGGCCATCATTCAGACACAAATTATAGCCAACAGTACACATTGACGTTAATCATACTGTCTTGTGTTGTAGAGATGCACTGCGCTCCATTTTTGATGAGGTGCGTGTGGTGGATGTTATGGACTCGGGTGATGTGGCTCATCTCTCCCTGATGAAGCGTCCCGACCTGGGAGTAACATTCACCAAACTGCACTGCTGGACTCTCACACACTACAGCAAGTGTGTGTTCATGGACGCAGACACACTGGTGAGAATAAAAAAAACTGACAACAGTAGGAAACAAAGTGGCAATGGGGAAAAAAAAAACTTTAAAAAAAGTTTGTTTTGCTCTAACTCATTGTCCTTTGATCACGTCATTAAACAGTCTGTTTCATTCATTTCATCATGTAGTCTACTGACTTTTGAGTGAGGAGAAAGTATGCTTTTACTGTAGTTAGGGGGGGGCAAACACTTACAACATTATTGAACCTTCTGTTTGATGGATAAAAAGAGAGATTGGATTAGTATTTCATCTGAGTGACAAATTTAAACACCTGAAAGGCATGTTTAAAATTTTTCCCTCAGACTACTGCACTTCTTCAGCAAACAACTACTGTGGAAATAACGATAAATGAAACTCTATGTCTGAGCAAGTAAGTGACCTTTGTTTTAATGTATTCAGGTGCTGTCAAATATAGATGAACTCTTTGAGAGAGAGGAACTATCTGCATCGCCAGATCCTGGTTGGCCTGACTGCTTCAACTCCGGGGTGTTCGTCTTCAGACCGTCCAACGAGACTCATGAGAAGCTGCTCACGTTCTGCAGTGAAAATGGCAGCTTCGACGGTGAGACCTGAGTGTTTTTATCCCTTTCTTTTTCTGTCCCTCAAAGGCTCATTAGAAGTGAGAACATAATCTGAAGAGACAAGAGGAAATAAATGTTATTCATATAGCACTTTTCAGAACAGAGTTACAAAGTGCTTTACATGGCTAAACCAGGATAAAAAGATTTCAGGACTGCAATATAGCAATTCAGTTCAGACAATTAAATTATAATACAAAAATAACATGTAAAAACATATAAACACAAATAATAATAAAACAGATAGGACATGTTGGAGCTACAACCGTGTACTAACATTAATAAAAAGTTGTGGTTTTTTAGTTTTTTTTTTTAAAGATGAGATTTGAGAAGTTATTTAAAAGATGTTACTGATTCTGCAATAACTGAAATAACAACAAAATGCAAGGTATTATAAGTACCAAGAGACAGATGCTGATATAGAGCAATTATTTATTTAGAAAATTAAGCATAGAGAAAACTACAGATAATGTTTTCTTAACTTGTACAATCCACATCACATAGCAAATGTGAACTTAACCATAGATTTCTAAAGGGAGTTTTAGGAGCATCGAGGTTTGGTTTATTACGGACCAGCTATAGTTTTTTGAAGCACGTAAAGCAAATTTGATCATTTTGTTTGTAACAGACTTTGCATAAACAAGCACAACCATTGTGGGGTGAGTGTTGAAGCTTTAGAGGCCTACCTATCAAGGCAGCCACACGCCCAAAAACACCCCTCTGTAAGCCTAAATGTCAATACAAACATTAGAAGTAAAGTTACCTAGGTAATGGTTGTTTCTTCTGGAAAACAGCTGTAATAGTCTACAGCCATGCTAGCAGCTCTGTAAGGCTGCTCTTACTGTAGACACAGCTGCATGCTAACTTGCTCACAAAGGCAATGCTAACATGCTCACCATAATGTTCACCATATACCTCTAGCGTGTTAGCATGCTAGTATTTGCTAATTGGCACTAAACACAAAGCTGAGGCTAATGGGAATGTGTTTTTTTATTTTATTTATTTTTTTTGTTTTAAGGTTTGAACAACTCCACACGATTTTAATCATTTTGAAGCCAGCATTTTGTGGTCATTACTTGATCCCTATGTACTAAGACACTGGCATCAAAACACCAAAGTTACAGGGACTGCCAATTAACTTTCCAACTATGGAAGGATGGCAGGTTGGACAGGTTCTTTGAATAAAGAAATTCAAGAGTATATGACTATATTCCACTCTTGTTTATAAGCCCTGGTTGTCATTGGACAGTGTGAACATGAACCAAATACAAGACAGCAGCAAATATTTCCACTGTAGCTCATTTATTTAGCATCCTCTCACAGTTGTCAACATTCCTTTTCAATTTCTATTTACACTTGTCAGAAAGGCCACAGTTAGGTGAGGGGTGGGACTGTACTGAATGTGTGTGTGCGTAGTATGGACCATTTAGGTATGTAGGTGTGTTTAACTGGATTTCAACAGCTAGAATAGTTTATGGTAAATGTATGTATTTTGGCAAATGTGTGTTTTTTTTGTTTGGTTTTTTTAACATGACAAATCAGAGCTCCAAGCTATTTCTCACTTTGCTCTAATTTATCCAGAAATTATTCTGAGCGTATTTGTGCGTGTGTCTGATCATTTCTGCAGGTGGAGATCAGGGGGTTCTCAATAGTTTCTTTAACACCTGGGCAACGGCAGATATTTCTAAACACCTTCCCTTCATCTACAACCTCAGCAGTATCGCCATCTACTCCTACCTGCCAGCTTTCAAACAGTTAGTACACACACACACACACACACACACACACACACACAAATATGATCAACGCATCCAGGGTTTCTTCATACTTTTCATGCGTAACCGACTTATTGCCCTTATTCTGTACTCAAGCTCGAGTGAAGCTTGAGGGATGTGTTGGGAGGCATAAAGTTTATCCAAGGTCAGTTCAAAGGTTTTGTGTGTGTGTCTGTATGTCTGTGAGTGGGTGCTGAATTACAAGAAGCTGCTGAAACTTAGAACAAGCACAGCACCCATTCTGCCTCAAAAAGAGGAACTACTGTAACGACACCTACACTGTCTGTTTTTTATTTATCTTCTGTGTGGAGTAAGTATTAAAGGGTTCTTCTGGATTATTACAATATGAGTTATGAACATTGCAAAATGACTTAAAATAAGTCAGATGGGGCAAGACACCCGAGTACTAGAGTATCACAGAGCTTTTAAACAAATCCTGGATCAGCTTTACCATACTTCTGGTGCTTGTGTGCACACAGTTTACTGTGCAATGAAGGATTTTTTACAGACATTTTGGATGCACACACATTATCTCCAAATTTTAGATAGTCTGGCTAAACTGTTAAATTGTTCCACTCCTATTTCTTGCACCAGTGGACGTTGTAGTTGCGACATCACTCCATTCCTGGGCCTCGTTTCACAAAAGCGGCACTGCTTGCGTGCAGATTGCAAATGGTGGCAGACCCGTTTCACAAATGATTGCCTCTTTCAAATTGCAGATACATTTGCGAGACTTTCAGCGCGCTCGCACACTCATGCATGGGTCACAAGTATGGTGTTTATTTTAAGTAAAATCAACACGAGAGGAAATTGGTTCATGTTGCAAATTGCAGTTTGCAACATGCATATTTAGCATATTTAGTGAAAAGGTACTTTGTGGTGGTAGGAGCCATATGTTGTTGTCCTCCAAGCCACAGGGGGCATGATATTGTATTGTGTTGTTGGGGCTGATGCTGGCCTAAGCTGATTGAAGTTCCTGTATTGATGCAAACAGGTGTTATTAATTGAAGAGCAAAACTGCAAACTAATGGAAATGACTGGACATTGTTTTTCTGAGTACACGTTCCAAACAATTACCAAACTAGCAACCAGTATCGGCTAAAGTATAGGACATCGTCACTACAGTAGTTTCAATGTTGTTATGAGCGATGGAAATGATGGCTAAACATATAAAAGTAAGACCTAAGTTGAAGCAAACTGGCGTTTTGAAGCTAATCTCTCACACTCTTTCCTGCCATCTTAACATTCTCTTTGCCTGCGGTGTTTTCGCAGGTTCGGCCGAGACGCCAAGGTGGTGCACTTTCTGGGCAAGGTGAAGCCATGGAACCACTCCTACGATGCTCAGAGGGGCGAGGTCAAAGGTCACTCCCTGTCCCCTGATCTGTGCCAGCTGCACCCCGATTACCTGCTCATGTGGTGGCAGCTGTACACCAAATCTGTTCTGCCTTTACTGCAGCAGGCCTATGGTGACACACCCTTCAGCAGTGGCTTCGTAGAGGCAAGCGAGGACGTACGTCAGCGGCCGTGGTGTCTTCGTGTGTGTGTGAAAGAAGAGTGTTCGGTTCTAGGTGTGGTTGGTTGTGGTTGTCGGTATGCATGCATGCACGTAGAACAAAATTCTGGACCCTGATAATAGGTATTATCTCAGGGTCCCTCCCCATATTCACAGTTTAGTATCTTTGTGGGCCCTGTATACTCACTCCCCTTTCCCACCCAGTCTTACGCCCTTGTATGCATGTGTTGAAACATGAAGGAGAATGATTGTGAATGTGTGTCATTGTGTTTTTAGCTTGTTGCATAATTATCATGTCCTGACTGTCGTAATCTCTCATTACTAAGTGATCTCACCTTGCTCTGGTATGCATTTCCTGGAGAGTAGCGGGAAGCTGCCACACTGCCTGTTGTAACAGGGTAGCAGTGAAATACTAGGTCAAAAAAGGAATGGCTGCCAAAACCTACAGCTTTTCTCAGTTTCCTGGTAAAGGCAGGATAATGCATCAAAGTGCATCCTTAATTTTTCATAAATTCTCCTGAGTCAGGAAATTTGGATGCACACACATTATCTCCAAAATCAAAAAACACACTCCGTATTGTTACACAGCAATATCTGTCTAAAGTTTGCTAACATTAGCTACGATAAGCTACGGATCATATTAGACCAGGTTGGGCTGTAGCTGAATTATTTATTTTCATTTTTAAAAGGAAAGTTTTGTTCATTGTTAGATGTATATAGTCTAGCCTTTAAAGTCCCCTTCCACTCACTCAAAATCTGTTTAGCTTATTGCTACCTAACTTATATGTTTAACCTTCACTGTGCAGAATGATGTATGTGCAGAGTTTGACACCAGAAGGCGATTTTCACGTTTATCAGCTAAAGGAGGCAAGTTTCCCTGCACTTCCCTTAAAACAGAGGTTAAGACGTGTACATACTTGCATGATTTTGTGACATCACAGGGGTCTAACATGCAACAAGTGTGATGTGGAAGCTTAAAAGTTTTAATTAAACATACACTAAGAATGGACTTTTCAGGGAAGTATTGGACATCTTCCAGCAACTTTTAAAACGAAAATGATTTGCATACCATGTTTATAGACGAGTAAAAATAATAAAAATTTTTAACATGAAGTGTTTTACAAAACAATTACATACTAAAAAACAGTATGTCTGGAAGGAACCTTTTAATGAATTTCATTCTAGGTCTTCCTGCACTCTCTGTTAATGTTCTCCCTCCTCACTAGAGCCATTGTGTTTTGATTGGTATTGAGTGTACATCTACTGTGGGAATCCAGACCTTCAAATCATGTGGGATAAACAACTTTCATCATCTGGAGAAAATAACGTCAACTCTTATCTGCCAAGTGTGTTGCAAAATGTCTTGCTTCTAGATTGACTCTTCTAACACCTACATGTTAACTGTAGAAAAGAGCAAGTTCAGTCGAGCATGGCTGAACTAGGTGAAACCAGTCCTTATAAAGCATTGCTCCAGTCCCGTTTAATGATTCATTCTCTCTCTCTCTCTGTCTCTGTGTGTGTGTGTCTGTCTGTCACGCAGAGTAAGCTTCATGAGGATGTGACGGAGCAGCCAGAGCCTTTTGTTCCTCCTCCCCAGAAGGTTTCATCAGAGGAAAGGAAGCAGCGCTGGGAAGCGGGCCAGATCGACTATATGGGTGACGACTCCTTTGTCAACATTGAGCGAAAGCTTGACTCCTTCTTAAAGTAGTGGCCATGCAAGCGAGCGTGACCAACAGAGAGCACTGGTTGAAGCTTTGTGTGGATGGAGATTTAAGCACTGCTCAGCCAATCACAGAGGCTTGATTAGCAGGTGACTGGATGGATGCCCCTGTGTAACTTTCAGCCTCACTCTGTATCCTGTCAGTGTGTGTATGAATGAGTAAGTTTGACACAATTCTCATACACTCTTACCATTCACTTTTTCTGTAAAAGGACATTTAGGGAAGCACACTCATTTGAGTTAGATGAGAAGATTGATAGCACTCACATGTTTGTATGGTAAATATGAAGCTACCGCCAGCATCCAGCTAACTTAGCTTAGCATAAACACTGGCAAACAGCTAGCCCCATCAGTGTCATTACTGCTGTAAGTTGCTCTATGATTTGGTCACATAGTTTTATGTAGGCAAACCTTAGGAGAAACAATAAACATGTCAAACATTTTTGTAATCTCACAGATGTTTACTGTTGTGCCTGGAATGATCAAATCAAGCTGCAACCTCTGGGGCTCAGAAATAATACCAATGCTAAAGTGCCAAAAACAGCAGTTCTTCAAATGGCCACTTGAGGCTCCAAAAGCAAGTCAGTCCCCATAAACCCCCCATGCTAAAATGCCCAACTTTACAATCGGAAAAAAAAACATTATGCAGTTGTGCATCGTCAACTTACCTGACCATTTCTTGGCCGAGACCAGTCATTTCCTGGACTCTCCACTGGTTCGTTTTTTAAATGAATTTAACGAACAAGATACAACACATTCATTTCTGAGGTGTTTGTTTGAAAACGGCTAGCTTTTTACAGGTTTCCAACCTTCGTTCTACGCGGTACCTTCACCGTACAGACGTGAGTGCTACAACTTTCTCATTCCACTCTCAGGAATAAAGTGGATAAGTGTGCTTCCCAAAATGTCAGACTGTTCCTTTAAAGCTAGGATAACGTTAGCCACTTTATTTCAAAAAAATCAAATTATCTGTCACAAAAATGCAAAACAAATCCTGTTTCTGTGACTATCGCAGGACTGCAATAAGCACGGTGAATAAGTTATTTCGGTCTGAGGCCTACATGTGTGCACCTGGCCCGTGCACTCACTGTGCACAAAAATGTGTTATGGGGAAGTGGCATTGGAGGGAGGCCTAAAAGGAAAGGGTGGGATTTTTTGGCTTCTTTAAAATCTAGCTGTCTGTTGCTAGTTTCTCCAAGTTGCCTGCCATAGCTTTACATGTAGTTCTTGTGCATCTGATAGAGATGGATTCAGAATCCTGAGTCTTCCTAACCTGTGGAAACATTCAGCAACAACACAGACTGAGGAAATGGCCTTGGGCAAAGCCTCCGTGCTGGAGGGAAGTCAAAAAGTTTAGAAGTTGTTGCTGCATTTTACCACAACTCCTATCCTGCAATAAATGTCTAAACTACTTTCAAGCAGATATGCAGCAACTGGCTCACTTCCTCCTTATTTATCTCCTATTCAGGCAATTATAAAAAAAAATCTTGCTTTAATCAGTGTTCACCTCACCAGAGTAAACAGATAAACATCCCTATCTGTGCCTCAGACACTCACCAGCTCCCTGTAACTTAAGCTTTCAAATGTCTGGTGTTGTATTTGCATGGCACAGTTAAAACAAAGGTCAGTAACGAAGTACTTCCACCCACATCCTAGTGATGTCGACAGCCAATTTTGTATGCATTTGTGTGCGTGTGCCCTGCATGTTATCTCTCTGCCAGACCCACATCAGTATATCTTTGTGCCATGACCCTTTTCATCACTTCCTTCTGTAGCTTTACCAGCTGCCTTATTACCGTTCACTGTTTACAAAACCTCACTTACTGTAACTGCTGCTAATAGCACATTAAAGTGGAGTCCCTCCTTTACTTCACTCCAGCTGTGTGATCTTAAGCTAAACTATAACCTGTAGCTCCTAACAATAATACTCTCCTCAGTCCATTAAATACACTCTTATAAGAAGCTGGCAAGGTCAAGAGAAATCCATTTTTTCAAATCTTGATAGCCTGCTAAATCCTGTATGTGCATGAGTGTGGAAGAGTAACATAATTGTAGTGGCATCGGTTATTGCAGGTCTGTCCTATTCTCCAGCTGTACATCCCTGTTGAAGCGCTAATAAACTGGCAAAAGATCACCTTATCAATCCCGTGTCATGACTTTTATTTTCCTTTAACCCTATGTAATGATTGGATATAGGGCAGCAAATCAATTGTTTAGTTTATAAAATGGTAAAATGTCCATCACAATCTCAGAGTTCAAGTTGAATATCTTCACGTCTTTAAATATCTTGTTCTGTCCGACCCGTTGCATAAAGCAAAGAAAAGCAAAACCTCTTCAACTTTGAGAACCATGGAGAAAACCACTTAAATGATGAATGGATTATCAAAATTTACTAATTTTTTCAGCTCTAATCAGATGCACACTTAATAAACATAATTCTCCTTTAAAAGCAATGAAGTTCTGAGCCTGGTTAAATACAGAAGTTACAAATGTACAATGCCAGTCTGCATTTCTTTAATCCAGAGATGGTTGGAAAAACAAATCCAACAGAGAACATCTTAAATCTTCTTGGCTGTTAAATGTGGCTTATTAACAACTCAAGAATTAAGCTGCTACACCAGGTGGGTATTTCTACCCAGTCTTCATCCCATGGTATTAACGTTTAACAAAATCCTCATCAGGTCCTACGGATCATACCTGAACAAAAATGAAAGATTTCCCTATGGTGCTTTCTGAAAATGAATCTGTATGAAAACATGAATCCTTCAGTAGAAGTAGAAATAACAGAATTTAGAACATTAATGATCTAAAAAATAAAAATGTAAACACGAACAAAACATTGACAATGTGTGAAAAACACTGCAAACCATCAGATGTGAACTGCGAGACCCCAAAAAAAGAACTGTCAATTGGCAGTACAGTTCAAGTACCACTCAATGTTTGTTGTTTCCATGTTTATACAGCAGTTCAGATCCACTGTCCACTGACATCTACAGCTCCATCAGAGCTTTGATGTCCTCAATGCGAGTCGTTTTCCTATCTGTGTTCGTGGAGCCAAAAGCCTTCTCCACCAGGTCCTGCTTCTGCCTCTGGATCTTCACCATGCTCTCCTCCACTGAACCTTTTACAATGAACTGCAGCAACAGACGCACACTAAATAAAAATATACAGACAAGCAAAAAAATTCCAGTGTATATCAGAGTCCTAGTTTTCTGACCTTGGTGACGATGACTTTCCTTGTCTGTCCCAGACGGTGGCAACGGTCGATGCACTGCTCCTCAGTTGCAGGATTCCATGCCTAAGACACACACAGTTAACTTAAATCCAGACAGTAAATTAGCTCACGAACTTCTGTATGTGGCCTTTCAGCATGCACAATAAGCCGTACACAGTACATGTGAATGTGTCTGGTTCCTTGCCAGAATCTGTACTTACAGGGTCCATGAGGAAAACATGAGAGGCGGCGGTCAAGTTAAGCCCCACCCCTCCAGCTTTGAGTGACAGAAGCATGATAACAGGGCTGTGAGCTGCAGAGCTCTGAAACTCCTGGATGACTTGAGTCCTCCTCTTCTGGCTCATGGTGCCGTCCAAACGCACAAAACTGAAACCATGCTCTCTGGTGAAGAGGAGGGAGTACAGAGCAGACAAATTCATTAAATCTGGAAATTCCCTCCTCAAGAGCTGTGGTGCACTGCTAACATATATTCAGACCACTAAAACAGACTTCTGAAAATCCTGACCCTCTACTGTGAACGTGTATTTTACCTGAGTGGACTCTCTAGTATGGTGAGGAAGCGTGTAAACTGAGAGACGATCAAACACTTAATGCTGCTGTCTTCACATCGCAGCCTGAGCAAGTTTCCCATCAGCGCCTGCACCTGAACAGACAAATGAAACGTCAAAGGAGGATCAACACGGCTGTCACATGGTAGAATACGATTTCCCATCACTGTCATGCTGCTGAACACAACTTTTTGACTGATGTCTGACTAAAGAATTGAGGGAAAACTCCAGGATCAGAATACCTACAAAATGGGAAAAACGTTGAGTTGTATTTCAGCATTTCATTTTCAACTGAGAACATAAAAAAAAAAAAGAATATTAAAATGAATGAATCTAAGAGAAGACCACTGATTTGTAGGCAACTTAAAGTGAAAGATGTTGCACAAAACCAGAACATCTTGCAAAAGGTCCAACTCTAGCACATTTCCTTTTACGGTTTAAATAAATAGTGTTCTGCATTCTTTGTGATCTACAGAGTGTTTATGCTATTTTTATCCTCAGTAAATTCTGCAGCCTCAGTATGAGCAGCGTACCTTCGAGCTTGTCCTGCACTTCTCAGAGTCTGTACTGTTCTCTTCCTCGATTTCCTCCTGTGGAAACTCCACCAGTTCACTGGACTTGATCTCGCTTCGACAGAGAGGACAGCGCGCCACTTCCTATGCATAGACACACACAGCATAAGGAAAAGATGGATCCGTTGATGATTAGCAGCAAAATAATTGACTACATAATAGTGAAAACTTGCCTTCTAAGTAAACTGTCAAATGAAAATGAAATCACGGACCCCTGCTGTCTGCTGAGGGCTGCACATGTACCTGCTCGGTGCTGATAACTTGGACGATGCATGGCCGGCAGTAAACGTGGGCACAGTGTGTAATGACGGGCAGACGGACTGAGTCCAGACACACAGAGCACTCCTCGTCAGAGCCGCTTGCCAACACCGACCGCAGCTTCTCTATCAGACGCTCTCGCAGCTCTGCAGGCGTCGCTGCAGCGGCTACAGACAAAATATGTTATACATTAACATGTAAAAATGATGAAAGAGGAAATCTTTCTCAAGCATGTATTGGGGCCAGGGTCAGAGCTACAATTGAGGACACCAACATCAAGCCCTCTTTTATTTTGGGAAACCTGGTGTTTCATAATGACAGAGGTGTTTACATTCTAGGATTACATGTTACATATTACACATGTTGGGCTGGGATTACACATATTCACCTAATATTCAGCTCGTATAGAGCTATAGAAAAAAAAAATGTGTAAGAATAAATGAGAAACAAACTTTCAGAATAAATATCTTTTTAAACAGGAAGTGAAGAGAGAAAGACCTAAAAGTGGGATTAGCAGTAGAGTTTAGTAAGGTGGAGAAAGGAGAAAAAAGAAAAGCATTATGATACGATATGAAGATAACTGAACCTAAAAAAACAAGTGACCTAAATATACTTTTCTTCACCAAAGGCTACAGGTTAAACCCCTATGTGACCTTGGTGTTTTCAATTATTTTGGCTGATCAGACCTCTTCTCTGGACTACACAGGCTTGAAGAGAAAATTCTCTCCCTGAGTCTCATGATAGCTTATGGCAGGATGATTTACACAAAATGGCGGCTCATATGGTTCACAACAAACTGTGATCTCAGCAAATTCAAGCATAGATTCAAGATAATCTGAAATTTGTCAGCCAGAAAAACCACAAAACAAAATAAACATGTGATGTGCATGACATTGAACACACAGCAAACTGTCTATATTATCTACATATCCCGAGCTATTTAAACAGGAGCAACCCATAACTGATTTAGCAAAAGGCCCAGAGGTGAACTTGGGTATCAGAATAGATTTTCCAATAAAAAGGATAATATATCAAGCAAATAAATCATTAGAACTCTCCAGCAAGCCTGTCTGCATATAAAGTGAGTTACCCCAGGGTTCAGATGCTATATTTCAGTTATTCACATATCACACTACAGGTCTTACCCAGGTCAGAGGATGTTTTTGCCAGCAGATCAGGGTGGCAGCAGAGCTGTCGAAGCCTCATAAGGATAACCAGCACATCTGCATAATTCCTCAAGACTGATCCTTCAGCTATGTATCTACACACACAAACACAGTGAAAACAACTTAAACACAGCAATATGCAACATTTTACAGTAAAAAAAACTAACATGGCGTACATCTATCAACAGCTGTATGTTCTGTCAAAATGGCTATTTCATCTACTAACTACCTCTTTATTTGTTGCTGATCAGTTCATGTAGATCATGTAGTTGATTCATTCAAACATGCATGCACGTGGACATACATGGACATACACGCACTGACACATACCTGCCGATGGTATTTCTTCCCTCATTGCGTGCCAGCTCGTACTCCTCTCTCTCTGGCTGGCTCAGCTCGACCTGCTCCACACATACTGTCTTCTCAGGCAGAGACACCAGGGGGCGCCCATTCACCTCACTGCTCTTTGTCCTCCGCAGGGTGATGCACTTCACCAGGGTCTGAAGGTTTCTGTCCACAGAATCAATTGGCTGAGTTAATTAATATCCCATGGCTGATTATCAATAGTGTAATATGATAAATGTTTGCATATTAGCTAAAATGACAGACTTCCATCCAACACTCGGACTGCTACATTTAGGACTCTATGAAGGGAGACGTGCCACTGTAATCACATAAATTAAAGTGTCTAAATGTAAGTTTTGTACCGTTTAAATAGACAGAAAGTGGCTAATTGCAGCCAGCACACTCACTATGGATTATAAAACTTTTCTGTTTGTTAATTAACTAGTAAGAAGTAAGTCCATTACATAGTTCACTCAGACTGTACCACTGCTCACTTACAGTGAATAGCGCCATCTGGAGTATTATTGCTACACTGCAGCAGTGTGATGTGTTTTTGTGAGCACCATGCAGCACGACTGGGGCTGAAAAATGAGCCAATGAGGAAGTACCAAACACTCCAAATGGCCACTTGATGGGTGACGTCTCTGTCACTGTGCCCATGTTTTATTCAGTCTATGGTGAGCACTCACTGCAGGCCGGCCCTGTCTCCTTGAGTAACGGGTCTCTGGATCACTCTATTCCACCACTCTCTCACATCAAAGGGCTTCAGACGCAGGAAGGCCAGCAGCATCCACAGGTCCTTCACACTGTTCTGGATAGGAGTACCTGGATGGATGGAAGAACGAACAAACACACGCAACATTAGATGACTTCCTTAATACCAAGACTGTCTCTGTGTGTAATGTCCTTCAAATAGTCCATCCAAATGAGTATCATAGTGCACACTATGGATAAATGTACTATTGTGATATCATGTAATTACCTCGATATACCCCTGATATATTACGATATTTACTA